GTTAATATGAAACACAAGGGGAACTTGTAATGGGGGAGGACTGCAGTTTCATATAAGGGTCATGATACAAAGTCATCTTACAGCCATGTGATCCACTTCAGATGGGTGAGTGAAGGCAAGAAACTCTGTCACATTAAGCCCGGATGTGCGGTCGGCATCGGCAAAGTCAAAGCGCCTCCTCTCCTTCAGATGCAGCTAATGGGGATATGAGCCTATGTTAAGGTTTTACAGATAGGTTATGCTGTGGTATAATGTGATTATTAACAGGAAAATAAAAGTATACCTACATGTCTGAGAGACTCTTGCTCTGGATCTTCCAGAACAGTGTTGTCATCAAAGCTAATTAGCTGGTCATGAGCGACCATGTTGTATTCCTCCCATGTTACAACACCGTCTTTGTCAGTGTCAAACTCAGGGAACCGCTCCTTCGCATCATCCAGAGCATATTTTCTATAGACATGCTGAATCCATAGCGTGAGCTCCTCTGTGGATAAAACACTGAGTATGACCTTCCACCACCTCTGTTTATCTTTGCTTTCTTTACAAATGTTGAAAGAGACAAACACATACCTGCGCTTAGCAGATTGTCAGCATTTGTATCAATCTTCTTTACAATTTCCATTATTTTTTTCCTCTGTTCTGCTGGGCTAAGTTTCTTTATCTCCTCAGTGTCCTGGAAGTGTATAAAATAAGACAAGCAGGAGATGAATGAAGAGTAGAAAAGAATACTGTACTATAAGAATAGAGTACAGTACTTTGTAGTAATTTGTAGAACTCTTGTACAGAGTACAAGAGTTCTACAAAGGGGCTGGACAATTTGACCTAAAATCAAAATCACAATTGACTGAACATTTTACCTCAATTATGATCAATGAACAATTATTTTGTTTTTGATTGTTTTTTTGCCCTCATAGTTCACTGACAAGGTTTTTACTGAAAATATGCTCATTTTAAGGTGGGTTTATTTTATTTTTTCGATTCACAGATGTCAAAAATCGGTTGTCTAAATGTTAACTGATAAGGTAATATTGACTTGCTCATAATAGAGACATGGTTCCCCTTTATTTGGCGCATCACACAATTATTAATATCAATGCAGTACTAATAATTTTCACTTACACTCTCTGTGAACATGGTAATACTCAACACTTTGCTGCTTCCTCTTTGCATTCATCAAAGGACATCTACATGGCAGGTGCTGTTATACCAGCAGAGGATTTTGGTATTTTAGGGGCAGTGCAATGTGTGTGTGGCGAGTGAGTGAGTGGGCGAGCGAATATGAGAGAGGGTGTGGTACAAGGTGATGGTGACAGCCAGTAAGTTGTCAGTCTGGTAGTAAATGTACTAGGTCACAGTGTGTCCGTTAATAAAACGGATGTCAATAAACGTATGTTCATTGTTTCCCCAACTGCTGGAAAGTGAAGGCGGTTAGCTAGCTAACAGACTCAGGTCTGGATGCTGAGCGAGAGTGCACGGGGCAGAGTCTCGTGACTGCTGTTTTTAAAGGGGAAATAAACTGGATAATATTACCTGAAATAACCCACATGGTAAAATTACGTCGGTTAGAAGCTCTGAATTTCGGTTTCGATTACTTTTCAATTAATCGTCCAGCCCTACTACAAATATTTAAAAACCTTGTCTCCCAGCAGGACGTTCATGTCATGTTCAGGGTTGTGCTGCTGGCCAATATAATGATCTTCATGAAGATGTTTATGGGAGCTTCCAAATCCATACTGAAGCACCAGCAACAGCAACAATGCAGAGGATGCCATCTGTTGAGTAACGTTAACACAGTTAATTAGTGGTCAAATAAAATGAGCTTTATGTAACTGAAAACACGAATGAGTGAAATGAAATAGCCTGCAGGGTAGTCTGCTAGTTGAAAGCTCAAATGACCAGAGCAAAACAGAGCTGCCAAAGTAAAACTGTGCGACCTTGTGGTCATCTGGTGGAACTTCAAACAAAAACACTTTTTATGCCCCGTATGATGGTGGAATTAAAACCAAAATCTGACAGGAACAACTATGTGTGAGATGAAGAAAGAGGGGGACAGAAGGAGAACAAAACTGGTAATAATAGTTGTTCTTGTCTGGTTTTAATGAATCCTTGTTTGCAACAATACGCGTTACTAACGTGTTTGAGAGAGAATGACCATTAGACAGATAGACACACATGCATTGGCAGAATCGAGGACAAACTCGACAGCGTTAGCCAAAATAAATAGTCACAGACAAAGACAACGCATACAAGCCAGTAATAAAGTACCTGCGACAAAGCTGACAAATAATTAAAGTGCAATATGTTGCTATTACCGTGGAAAGTTCTCCGTACAAGGGCTGACGCCAGTGACATTCACCCGAGACTTGTATTTCCGGTCACAAATGTCAAAATAAACGTTTTATTATTCTGGTTTATCTCAAACTTTTATGTATCTAAAAATCGAACTAATCCATGTAAACCCAGACTTACCTAGGATATCTGACAGAGCAGGGCTGACAAAAATTATTCACAGACAAATCAACAGTACTAAGTTATACACTGAAGTTTCCACATAAGAAAATAGAAGTATACTAAATTACTGGTTTTGCATGCAAATATTGCCTTGTCATGTATGACAATCATGTAATATAAGTGATCTCAAATCTATATGGCATCTGAGAAATTAATCCTGTTGGTAGATGGATGTGCTTTTCCTTTTGTTTTAAGGGTTTGTGCAGTTCATGTATATGTTTCACCATCTAGATGTTTAAGAGGCAAATGGGATTTAAGACAATCAAGGTTATCTGCCCTGACTGTCTGAATAATTGGTGAGTTTGTGTGCAGACAGTGCATGCCAAAATAAAATGTTGACACAGAGATTTTCTCAGAATTAATTTGAAAGTATTTGACCCTTTTTGTGTGTTGGATTACTGGATAGATTCTTTCCTTAGGGATTTTTACAGCCTGCCTCAAACGGCAAGTTTTCTCTGTAAATGTCGGTTGCCAGTTAGGCAAGTTTATTTACCGGATATAGAACAATCAATATTTTGGGGACATTTTAATGTTCTTTACAGACACTATAAATGTAAAATGTTATGGCTCTATGAATAGTAGCAAACTAGTTCAAGGAGTTTCATATTGTAGCCTATAAGCAAGTCAAAATATATTTTGGGGATAAATAATTTAGTAATTTATATGCAATTATATAAAAACAGTATGTTTAGCCATACAAGATAGACATACAGCTAACCTGAGCACAACAAAGCTAAACAGAAAGTAAGCAAAGATACTGGTAAGCTATGAGTATTTGAAAAAATTGACACAAACATAGCCATACAAACACGTGGACAACAACATACACTGTCTCTTTGCAGCATCAAACTATTACCGTAAAACATAGCTTATACAGGGTTACACATGCGCAAGCAGATGACACACTATACTAAAAGGCCATGTATGGTCAAGTTTAATGTGTTCTTCCTCGTTTATTTGGCAATGTTTTCATGCTTAATGTAGGCCTATGGAAGCAGGGGGCTGTACCACGAAGCAAGATTTGAGGTTATCCAGGTAACCTCGGGGTTAACCCTGGGTTTTCAGTACCCCGAAGTTTGCCATGGTAACTTATGCTGAACGGCTAACCTGCTCCGGAGCAGGTTATGTTCCAGATAAGAGATCAACTCAAACGAAAACGCCGCCTATGCTGACCAATCAGCTCTCTTGGAAAATGACATCACCATCTGTATGAAATCCCACAAGCTGTTTTATAGGCTGTTTTATGTTTGCTGCGGTGATACGGATAAACTCTTTTAGGCTAGCAATATCATCCTACGGGGACTGATTAAAAGCCTTAGGCTAGGTTTGCAGGATTTTACAGTAAGCCTACTTACTGCTTTGAAATGTGTTTAATATTTTTTGTTTGCTCCCAGTCCGTTTCACAGAGCCTGTCGCAGCCGATAAAATAAATGGGTTTTATTTTTCTTATGTGAGGCTGAATATTCTGAGCAATTTAGTAGGGTGAAATACTAAATTTTAATAGGCCTACCACAGAGACTGTAGTCATGTTCTGCCCCACCTTTTGTAATGTGGGCGCAGGTAATGAGGTGAGTGTTCAGTAGCGTAAATGTTGAGATTCAGTCTTTCAACCACTATTTGAGCACATTTTATGGCATTAATGGATTTTTCGTTTCATTGCTTTATGAAGTTAATTAAGAACAATGTTTGGAACACTTTTGAAGTGTGTTAAATAAATTAATCTCACTCGAGAAGTTTCTTTACAATGACTTGGAAGACTACTTCTTCAGTGCCCGAGCCTTTTAATGTAGAAACGCCGACAAAGTCGAGCTGAAAGAATAAGGCTAACGTTTTCATACAGCTCATAAGAACACATCATATCAACGCTTTATTATAGGCTACGCCTGTTCATTAAGACGTTCACACTGTCGGCGAATTTCTGTCTTCCGGCAAGTGTCAGCTGCAGCCGTGCTAGACTAGGCCTATGTCCTATTTCTGTAGTGTTACAGTTTGCTCGATGTAAAATATGATGCTCTGATGCCAGTGGACTTGTTCATGTTTGTGATTGGTCATCTGCTGCTAACACCGCCTCTTTAAAGTGGTCGCGCTCACGGCTGGATTGGGAAACCCTGGGTTGATACCGAGTTGATCACCAGCTTCGTGGTACCGCTTATCCCGACCGCGATTGTTAGGGTTAGTTAAGCCAGATAACTGAAAGATATCCTGGGTATGTTGAACTTGCTTCGTGGTACAGGCCCCTGGGCTGCCACCAAATGTTTTTATTTTGAAAGCAGGTTCGCTTCTCTTGTGGGCTTCCTGTTTAGGCTGCAGATGACTTGACAGCTCCCTCAACCGAACGTCCCGCCCGATCTTCTTGGTTGCCATGGTAGACCGTTTGAAGTCCCGCCCTTTGACCCAGACTCTTCTATACGTGATTGGCTGATGCGTATGTTGTTTCCATGTTACGGTGAATTTATTGGATAATCCCATCGCCAGTCAGAAATGTAAACTCAACATACTTCCTGCTTTGTTAGGTTGTCTTCGGTGTCATGCATTTATCTGACATGTTTTTCCATCAACTCTGACAACAAGATAATAATCAGCAGACTTTTATTTCGTACCGACTGAACATTGAACAAACCGCTTGTCGATGTCCAAAGACAACCGCCATGATGGACGACGGCGTGGCGCTGGGCAGCACCGTCTCGGCCCGAGAGTTAGCCAAGGTGGGGACGGGAGGGAGAGGTCTGGTAGCAACAGCTCAGGCTCCTCGCATGGAGGAGGCAAAAGCAAGAATGCATCCATAACCGCTTTGAAGGTACGTAATGTCTTATTAGCTTGTTGCTAATAGCTGAAAAACAGCAGTTATTTTAGTCAAGAACAGTAGAATTCCTATGCATTGTTAGCTAGCTTGAGCTAAGCGACTAACGTTAGATACTTTAGAATGGGTTCACCTAGATAACACTTTCAGCAGAAAAGTAGCATTTATGGGTGACCTTACCTTCTCTAGGTGTGATGTCAGCGCTGGTGGTCTCATCAGTTTCTGAAATGTTTGAAACACACACAGGTGCATTTTTTTTAACCAAAGGATGATGAATGCCCTTGTAAGAAGATTCTAAAGCACCATAATCTGTGTGTGTGTGTGTGTGTGTATTGTTATTTCATCATTAAAGCAAGTATGTGACAACAAGAGGAGTGTTATGTAGGGTGACAAGAGTCACAATGTTAATTAGGACAAGATGATGAAGGATCCTGCTCTCTCTGTTTGTCCCAGCTTCCTCTTGCAGACTTTGTAAGTTTGTACCATTGATCAGCAGTCAAACCATGTGGCCTTGTGTGTTTTGTTCCCCAGCAGCCTCTGAATCATTGAATGCTGAGTCCAATCACATCCAGAGCATCACCCTGTGTGGCCAATGCACGGCCAAGCTTGCGTTAGCACACACTGTGTCTTTTAGCCTGCAGCTACAGAGCGGCAGGCCTGCTGTGTTCACATGACTGCGCAGTGTTGTGGCAGAAGGAGAGTGAGAGATGAGAAACAGAGAGAGAGTGTGGGGGCTCTGATGCAGAGCAGAGAAGCTGTAAATATAGGAAGCTGCATGCAGTGGAAAGCAGAGGAGAGTGGCAGGCAGATAGACGGCAGCAGGCGGCGAGTCGGGCCCAAGAAGTGGCTGCTAACTCAGCAGAGCACTGCGAGCTCAGGCTAGATTATAGACAGAGTTATAGACAGAGTTACAGACAGAAGTGAAAGGCAGGATTGGCGGGCTGCTGAGCACTTGTCAATCATCACTGGGAGAGGAGTTGACACAGCTGGGCAAGTTGCTATAGCAGTGTGGACTACACAGTAGGAGTCTATTTTGGTCCTGCTGTCAGATGACGATGTCACCTTGCACAAGTGGCAGTGCTGGTGAGGGGGAACAGGTTGTCTGAAGTGGGCAGCAAAAGTATGTCAGGGGTGGATAAGGACGAGGAACCAGCTTACAGACTGTACTTCTATTCTGTATGTATCCTCTAATCTTTTGATTTTCTCTGCGTCTCTCCTAATGAGCTAGTATTCACCCACCGTCTTTCTGCTTGCATCTGTTTGTAGACCTTGCCAAAAGGGAACCCTTACACTTGCCCCTTAGTCAGCACGGTCTAGAACATAAGCATGCTCTGTGGTGCATATGGAAGGATTGCCTGGGCAGAGAATATAACAGAGGTTATGCTCCCTAGTGTATCATTTTCTTCCACAGTGAATGCAGCCCAGGAGACAGGTTGTTTGCAGCTGATTAAGTGGATCAAGTGAATGTAGCTATAAGCCTTTCTTTTATTTTGCCTCAGGCGGCTGCACACAGTTAGCCATGAGTTGTGAGTAGGGAAGGTATTCTTCTCACAACATTCATCGGTCTTCCAGTGACTGCTGAGCCCAGGAAACAGAGTAAATATTTACAGTTTATAGATGGGAGATGGTGCATTGACGCTGACCCACCTCACTAGTTCTTGCTCATGTTTTGTATTGTATTGTTTGATGTTCTTTTTATCTCTTTGTGTTCTCTTTGTACTTGGCCGAATAAAGCCTAGGCTACTTGACATGTTAAACATTTTGCTCACCAAAAGTAGGTCAGCTGGGTATATCTCCTGACATTAAATAGTATCAGACTAATACACGCATACTGTTTCTGCATGTGTAACGCCTAATGAGTCGTGTTCACATCATTCCACTAGCTTTAAAGGATAGTCTGAAAAGACTGTTACATATTATTTTTACATAAACCTTGGCCCAGTTATCACTTGTTTCTGCAAAGCCTTGGAACAGGCATATACTATACCCTCTTCTGGTAGAGAAGCTTTCTTGTCTGAATAGTGTTGCTAGTGAGAGACAGCCAGGAAAAGAGAGAACGTTTTGTTCCATGACTCACTGGCTATTAAGAGGCGAACTAGCTCTGGATTTTTGTGTTGGTTTCAGGTAACAATTTATTTTGATTCTGAAACCACATCTTATAGTTGTCTGACCAAAATAGCCTTGTTTTCTCTGGATTAGTCCACATTAGATTAAATCATTTATGAAAGCACGGTGGTACAGGCTATTCTACCGGGAGAGGGGGGACAGCAAGTGGAAGATGCAGAGTGATAAGCCTCTAGGTATTAGCTTCTGTGTTGTTTTGTAGGCAGATTGGCAGAAGTCAGAATATTTAGTGATGTAAGATTACAAAGGCAAATAATATCAAGGAGACAAGTGGGCACTCTGTATCTGCCTGTCATTGCATTGCAAAACTGAGTTGTAGATGTTATTGCAGGTGTTAAGCAGATTTTTTCTATTCATTAATTCATGAGCCGTTTGAGCAAATTGTTATGTTTCTCTGTGAGATGGGGATGCAGAGAGATGTTGATGCCATGTTTCATGACAGGGCATCTTAATGTTCAGTAGGTAAAGGATGTGAGGAATGACTTCTCGCAGCTTTTATTTGGTTCACAGTATCTGCTTCACCCGAGGTTACATTCAAGTTCACTGATGCATATTCAAGTTGTAGGTCAACCGTGATGCATTCTGGGCACAACTCTGGTTTAGAGCTCCTGCCTCTAGCTGTTTCTTGTCACCGCCTGTGCCAGCAGACCTCTCCCATAAATGTAATTCTTGCAGTATTGTGTCTTCTACCCCTGTTCACAACCACACACCAGGGCTGGGACAAAAAATTGAAACAACATATTGCAGTACACTCTCTTGCTGCACTGAGTATTGCAATTTTTTGTTGAATTAGTACTTTTGAAATTTATGTTAAACTTTTGCTCATATAAAGGGTTTGTATAAGGGAAAAGGCAATCACAGTCACAACTCCCTTTTGTGGTATTTATGTCTGTTTGAGATTTGAATGATTTCTCTTTAATGGACTGTGTCTCCTCTGTTACATGCTGTTTGATTTCATTTACCTTTGAAATTTACAACACAATGAATAAATACAGAATACATTTAATTTCCTTGTTTAAAACATATTTGGTCATTTTTAGGGCTATGGTAAACACACTGTACTGGTGTACACACTACTTTAACCACTGTACAAAATCAGTATGCAAGGTGTATTCAAATGGAGGTAACCATAACAACAATACTCGTGCTTCAAGCCGTGTTACTGGTTAGCTCACCAGTAAAACAATGTGGTTTAAAGAATAAAGTGGCCATATTCTAAATTTTTGTTTTGAAAGTCAACAATTTGTCAACAATATAAGGCAACCAAAACCAAAACTGTGTTAGTCCATTTTAATATGCCCTTAACATGTCTGTGACCCTCAGCGTCAAGCGCATTCATTTTGGTTGATGATAATAAAAAAAAAAAAAGGTAATTTCCTAATACAGCTAGGCACTGGAGTTTTTAACAAACATTACTCTAACAGGAGTTGGTGTATTTGTTGAGGACTATTCAGTTGCAGATATGTTGTGCAAGAGAATATTTGCTGCAACAAATGTTAATATTGTCACGATATTTGTTGACAATAAGAAAAACATAGTGTGGTAAGTTTAAAAGATGTATGATGTTTTTTTTTTTTTTTTTTTTAAAGACTCCTTTCTTTATGTATGCCTGTGGAATGAATATATATCAGGGTGCAAAATTAACCTTTTTCTCCACCGGACTAATGGCTGGTGAATGTTCAAATTTTACCAGCTACTCAATAGATTACTGTTTATTTGGCCGGTGAATGAAGAAAATCTACCAGCCACTTGTGTATTTGAACAGCATTTGTCTGGTGCTAATTTCCTACCCTGGCCTATATATTGCATACCATGTCACAGAATAGAAAGTAATGGACTTAGTGGAGAAAATGCCCCTCAGCTTTGTGTCCATTATTCCATCGAAGCTTCATTGAGGCTTTCCTGACACCTTGTGCTTGTTCCTCAGAGTTGCCTAATGTGAAACTACCATGGGCGGCATGTTGTGATTTCCCATTGAAAATAACTTAATCCTACAACTACTTGTCACACATGTCATGCGGTACTGCTCTACAACATGATCTTTCCTTGGCTCTTGGATAAAGCACAGAATTGATCTGTTTCTCCTGCAGGCATCTTTTCAGCGCTCCAACAGCCATGACAAGGTGAGGAAGATAGTTGCTGAAGAGGGCCGTGCTGCTCGAAACCTCATTGCCTGGAGTGTACCTCTAGAGAACAAAGAGGAAGAAGGTTGGTAGCTACATGCGAAACAAACCTTATGTGCATGCTTATATGCTATTATTTTTATTCCGTTATTTGTAGCAGGTGTTATGTTATTGCATATAACAAATTGCAACTTACATCACCAGTAAATGAAGTATAACATCATTGTTTAGGTCTTCATTGTTCAGTGGTAGGAGTCACTGCTGATGTTTAGCAGCAAGACCTTAAGTCTATTTCCCATATCTTCGGGGCAGTGGAACATGTCTAATTATTTATTTGGTGACCATCATTATTAATGTCAATCTGTGATCATACCAAAACCAGACGATGTTGTTCATGGTCATACAATATTAGCTGGAACACAGTGATCATTTTCCATCTCATGGCTAGACTGAAAAATTATGATACTGCTGAGAATCTCCAATGCTGCTAAAGCTTACAGCAACACCTGGTCCTCCTCTGTTATGTAAAACATTACATTTCTGGTGGTACAAGTCACTGCTATACTGTGGCTCACTGTGTTTGCTTAATAGAATATTATGTAATAGGCTTGGAATTGTTTACACCATGCTTTTGATGATTTTTTTTTGATTAAATAAAAGAAGAAGATAAATAATTCTGGTAAGATGTTACCTTTCAACTTAATTGTTCAACAGTGGAGTTTCTTGTTCAGCATTGCAGTACTCCATCACATTATTTAGGCTTTATACTGTATTAAAGAAAGCTCCTTTTAGACCAACCTACTCAGAAACCCCCACCACAGCCTCTGACACTTTCTCAGTTTTTCCTCTGGCTCTCACTCTTCTTTGTGGGTCAGTGCAGTTATTTTATTCAAGGCTTATTTGCTGCGCTTGAGTTCATGCCACGAATGCCAGAAATCTTCTCATTGCTATATTCCAGTTGAAGTTCTCATATGGGTTGTCATCTTCTGCAACAAAATAATCAAACATTTACCTTTTGACACTTCAAATTGTTCAATTGTTTTGTCCACCTCTGTTACTCTACATGTGTGACATTTGGATTTATCCACAGTTGCTCAAAACCACGTTATGTGACCAGACCACCATATATGCATGTTGATTGTTACCTTCATCGGGATCATCAGAGATTGTTTATTTCATCAGTTACTATATATAAGCCTATGTTTGTCGTTTACACACAGCAAAGTCCAAAAGCAACTCCAGTGGCAGTTCCAGGGCCCAGAGGATCAATTCTGGTCAACAAAGGAATAAGAAACAGGTTGGTATATCATCTTCATTCACTAGAGGGCACCATTCACCAAGCTAATCTAAATAATCTATTTATTTTGCCTCACACTCCATGTGGATCTGTGATGGTCATGAAACTTCCTGTTTTTGCATTGTCAAGTCAGTCTTGGAAAAGCTGAGTTCACAAAGAAAAGGGGGGACAAGAGTGGAGACAGTAGTTGTAGTATGTGATGTGCCAGAATATTCCTTCGCTGAACACAACCAAAATCCCTCTCAAGTGTGAACTTTACTTTCAGTCTGTAGCCTTATGTCCTTTTAGATGTTCTTGCATAAGTTTGCAAAGTTTTACAAAAACATGCATTAGACTGCAGCAGGCTACAAGGAGAATGTCATGGGGCATTATATAATGGTGCAACAGCGAGATTGTTGCCAACAACAATTTGTCACTGACAATTTTTTTGTTTTTTTTAATTTTAGTTCCCATATATATTAAGATGCTGTATCAATTTATTATTTCCTGATGCCCTCTGGTTTAAACCACATGGTTAATACGTTGCATCAACATTACAGCAACAGGTTAAAGTGAACTCTCATGTTAGCTATATTTGCATGGTTGGCATAAAAAGGCTATAATAGCTGCATCTCCTGTCCCAACGGGGAAAAAAGTGCTTTGGCTGCTTATATAAACAACTAGACTTGTATGACATTGTAATAAGTTGTTATTATTAGTAAATTGTTACTATAATGTTTGGTCCATGCTTGGTCTCCACAGAATGCTGGCGTGGAAAGTAAAAGCACAGCTGGTGCCTTGTTGGACAAAGGGGCAGAGAAAAGCCCCACCAAAGCCAGGCAGCCCCGCAAGGTGGACCTGCGAGCGCGCTACTGGGCCTTTCTCTTCGACAACCTGCGTCGAGCTGTGGATGAGATTTACGTCACCTGTGAATCTGATCAGAGCGTTGTGGAATGCAAGGTTAGTCTGCTTTTGAGGAGAAAAAAACAGGTTGAAATGCAAATTCTAGTTTCAGGATCAGTGGGGTTCCTGATCTGAACTGACCAAACAGGAATTCCGTCTTTGGGGAGAGTGAATTATGATTTATGAACACTAGAGGGGGGCATTGAGGTCATTACAAAATTTCTTCCTCACAGCTCACATTCCTCTTGATTTCTGCTTTAAGTTAGAGGGGCTCTGTGAAGGCTCGCTGTTGAGAGAATTATCACAGGACTCTCTTGGGCCTGGCTGACTGGACTGAGCATTGATGACAGACTTAACAATTTGGATATACATTGTGTTTGTCATCAGGCATTTGCTAAATGGGGCTCCTTTTTGGTGTACGTCTGGACTTTTTGACATTGTTCACTGTTTTGTGGTTCCGTGTGTTCTGCTTCGGTGCAGCCTTGCGGCAGCACTGTGATGTTGCTCCAGGGCAGTACTGGTACGATCCTGCTAGTCATGTGTTTTATTGATTCTTCTGCCATGCTGCATTATGCTGAGCATGGTTCTGGTGACGGTCTGCGGTCAGTACTGTAGCCCAGTTCCCTGTGGTGTGGTTGGCTTGCTGTCAGTGCCACAACGCAGCTCCCTGCGGTGTGATCAGCATGTTGTCAGTTGGCCTGTGTCAGACATCTGGCCGGCATTTTTTTCCCCCTCTCATACCACTGTATCTCTCTGCACTCTAATGCTGTCTAATGGCCATGGAGCTGGGTGCTGTTCATAATCCCCCATCCCACCCAGCTTGGGCTTAATGGACACTGATAGATGATGGAGTCATCTAGAGGGGAGGCAGAGTGCTCTGATATCCCCAGCCACTACCCCCTTGTGTAGCTGTAGGCAATCTGCATTCTGTGCTCTTACACAAATAGCTAACAATTTTCCACCGAAAACATTCAGACATAAACATTACCATTGTCTGGAAATGATGCCTAACTCTCTGCAATGTAATGCATTGTGATGATGATAATATAATATGTTTCCCACTCAGAGGGAAATTGTTCATCCAGCAGAATGATTCATATATACTTGTTAATAATGCCCACAGCCCCCAGGCCTAATTAGTTCCTATGAACTATTCCTTTATCCCACTGTTTATTAGACCTATCACCTAGACCAAGCAACAAAGGTACTTCCCGTTCCTGTTTGCTTGGAGGCAGTAGATGTTCAGAATGTTTGTTTTATTCAAATAATTTTCAAAGTGAACAGAAACAGGCTATTTTGGTTGGAAGGACTTAAAAAACTGAGAATTATTTATTTGCGGTCAGTCACTCTAACCCTGGCTGTACCTCTTCATTCTTGTTTCTATGTATGGAACTGAGGCTTTTACTGCCCATTCTACTTTATGGCAATGCCTCTGGAAGGTTAAATATTTTGTCATTCCTCATGAAATGTTATGTGAGGGTTGTATTTAGGTAAGTATGCCTGTTAACATGCTGAAAGCCCCTTTATGGTACCTTCACTCACTGTTGGTTTATCTGTCAGAGGAGCAGCAAACTCTCTCCATCTTGGCTTTCATTACCAAATGAACACCAGGCCATAGCGGTGGTCTTTGCCTGTTAACCAGCTGTAATCAGCAGACCTGCTGCTGGACACATCTTTCACTGGCCTGACTTGTCTATTAACTAAAAGCACTGTGAAGCTTTACTCTCAATTACCACTCCCTTCACGCTCCCCATCAATCAGTTGTGTTCTCCACACAGCCCACCACCTCTGGATAACCAACACCGTGAGGCAGTCCAAGTGCAGATAGTAGACATTTGCTATTAGGAATTTGCCTTCTCTGTTCTTACTCAAATCTTTCAATAATGTCTTTGCACCTGAACATGTGTGGGCCAGCTCCTGCTTGCCAGCAACACTCTTGATCTCCTTACCCCAGTTTTTAAACTGCCAGTTATTGGTTTTAGTTGGAAAATAAATTGTGTTTTTGCTTACATTATGCAATGTATATACAAAAATCAATAGACAGTCTACTAAAACATGATTACATTTGAGGTCAAGTTCTGTTCTATGGTTTAAGTATAGAGTGCTACATGTTTTTAGAATTTTTAGTTGGTATTTTCTGGATTTATAGAGGAAAATTACTGATCTTTACATGAATGTTGTCCAACAAATATTCTTAAGTTACACACATGCGTCAGATTTCACTTATTTATTTTAAACCTACCTTTCTATTACTGGTTTGTTCATTGTGCCTTTCTTCATGTATGTATTTATAATCTCTGTGTTATCATTCTCCATCCTGTTGTAACTGCTGTCTTTAGGAGGTGCTGATGATGTTGGACAACTACGTACGGGATTTCAAAGCTCTCATAGACTGGATCCAGCTTCAGGAGAAGTTGGAGAAAACAGATGCCCAGAACAGGTGATGCTCGGTTTCTTTTTCACACTCCCTTTCTTTGTCGCTCACTTTCATTCACTCCCAATTTTCAATTGCACCCTGAAGTGAAACTGAAATGCTGTTGTCTGGTCCCTGGTTTGAGTCACAAACAGAATGGATCAATAGCCTTGGCTTTAATTCAAAGAGATCAGTTGAGTTTATTGGCTTCTCTTTAACACAGTGACCACTGCAACCGTAAATTGACTAAGAAGGGAGATTCCCAGTGCTGCCTCCCAATTTGTTCATTTAAAGCGTACTGTTAATCAATAAGACAGCCTGAAACCTTTATATGGTCCATTTAATGCATAAATTGCTGCAAGTGAATCAGCCATTTAACTGATTTGCCAAAGTGTGAGCCAAGTCTTTGTGTTACTGGGGAACTAGGAAATTAGTGTTAACTTATGCCCAGAACCAACTAGTGTCAAGTAATGTTCGCCACTTTCACTTTTTCAGGCCCACTTCCTTAGCCTGGGAGGTGCGTAAGATGTCTCCGGGACGTCACGTGATGCCAAGCCCCTCAGCGGACAGAATGGTCCCTTCTCCGGGTGCACGTCGCGCCCTCAACTTTGGGTAAGCTCTGTCTTATGGTCTTTTCCCATTACCATTAGGCATTTGATTTTGTTTTTGTCAACACAACATATGATTTGATTAAAATTGTATCACAAGACATCCTGTTATTAATGAGTCAATATTTTAAATGTAGCACTGTGCCTGCTTTGGAAGGGGTTAGAAAGTGCAGACTATGTTATCTAGCAATACACCCATTGATTGCTTATGGTGAACCATTTGTTTAATGCAATTTGTTGAGTCTCTCACTCTGATGCCACAGAATCAGTGGAAGGTGTAGATGAAAGTGTCAGTTAAAGACTGCTGAAGCATCGGTTCAATATGTGCACTGCTCTGTAATCGGATGCTGCAGGAAATGGATATTGATCATGACGGAGGCCTGTTGTCCAATACAGTCCCATGCTATCTCACAGTGGAGAGTGCTTGGTTGTTAGATAGGTACTGTCTTCAGACTGCTGAAGCGTCTTAGAGGCACAGTAGGAGCCATCAGAGATTAGATGTGATGGCATAATACAATTTAAAATCCTACCTGCTGACAGTAAAGGTGCCACTGCACAGGTGCACATTTGTTTGTTCTCATGGTGTGTGTGTGTGCGTGTGTGTGTCATTCAGTGGTCCACCACCTACACTGGCTGCAGCCCGGCTCTCCCACACAGGCCCCAGCTGGGCAGACCGAGTGAAGTGCACTCAGTCCGTCCCTAGCTCCAGTCAACCGACCACCTTCCCGGTAGAAAAGCTGGGTAAGAAATCTCCTCCTGCACAGAGTCAGGATGCACTTTGACAGAATGTGGCTCCTTCTAACATGGAGAGCACAGTAACACATTGTCTTCCCGGTGGTTGACACAGTGCATCGTGTGTTTTTCCAGGTAAAAAGGATGCTGAGGGCTGGGAGACTGTCCAGCGAGGACGTGCTGCCAAGCCTCGCTCTGCCGCCATAGTTGCCAAGGTCAGTCCTGTCTTGGCTCATGTCACCCCAAAACAGGACAGCGCCAAGTGTAACAAGTCACATCTGCCGCCACAGGAGGAGCAACAACTCCATCCTCAGTGTGCCCCGGACAAGGAGGTAACCCAGAAAGACACTGAGCAGCAAATCCCTGTGGAGCCTGACCCCTTGGAGAAGGTCGGACGTCCAGAGAACGGGCACATGATGGAGGTACTGAGGTTCAGTACCTTGTGACGTCTTTCTCCCTAAGCAGTCCCTGGATATCAATTATTCACGAGTAGCAGAGTAACACTAGACCATTTTATCGGCCACATTTGTTTTTGTTTTGGGCTCCATGGTATTCATAGACAGACTGTCCAGACAGGCATATCAACTTTAAAGCGATTGATTGTTCTCTGACATTTCAGAGGCAGAAAACTGAATTTCACTCACATGAAATAAGTACTCGATGTCGCTGCCTCAAGACACACTTTGTAAGAGTGTGTTATAGCCTTCAGTTGACTTTGAAATACAAATCACTATCTCCAATCTATCAGGTAGGGCATGTCAGTACCAGCTTTCATGCATGAGTTGTGTTTTCAGCTATGTGTTGAGTATTGACTGGTTTGGTTTGGGTTTTTTTTTGTTATTGCTCTCATGAATTGCTTGAAATATGCATGTCTTTAATTGAGTTTGTGTGACTGTCGGTGCAGCCCCCAGCAGAAAGTGTTCAAGACTCGGGGCAGTGTGTTGAAGCACCCTGTGAAGACACGCCTCCCCCCATAGAAGCTCATACCCATTTCCAAGCCCCAGAGCCCACGCCATCCTCAGCCACAGTCCCACCAACAGACATTACCTTATCAGTCCCAGTCCCTGCTCGGGTCCTCACCGCATCCCCAGACATTCCCCAGACGGATGGGCTCGGTGCACTGTTGGCCTTGGGGGACAGTGGGGCTGAGGGGGGCGCGCCGCAGGGCATGGCCACATCTGCTGCAGGACAGGCTGAGGCTCCCATGCCAGCGGTGAAACTGGAGAGTGTGCTGGACCCCACAGAGCTTTCTACTGTGAGTGCTGAGAGATGGAGGAGCAGAGGGAGGGGCGGGTGGTTGGGGGGGGGGATCCCTAAGGGTCCTTTTACCGCCTAAACAAAGTCAGTCTTAAGAAACCAGACCAATTGTGCAGACTGCATAGCTCTGTGTAGAGTTGTTATAGCACGACTGTGAAGAATAGCTGTGAGTAGGAGACTTCTGTAATCGAGCAAGCACTCCGAAGGTGTTGCCCTAAACGAACCTCTTAACTTATTTTAGTTATTTTGGCCACTTTTTAAAATTCTGTGCAAAAAAAATTATGCTGCCGAACTTTTATTGAGTTTCCTGTTTGTATTCAACCCAGCGGTCAGTTCTTGGGCAAACATTGTCTCGTTACATCAAGTGTTGTCACTATTATGAAGCGTCATGGAGTGTGTAAATACAGAGCTCCATACACTTACTACACCTCTAATGGGACGCTGTCAGATTTTCACAGGTAGTGAATGAAAACGTGTGGAAAAAAGTTTAATTCAAATCTGCAGTGATGGCATTCTTCTAGTCTTTGACCTTGTCCAGGCGATACTTATGTGCCTAAGATTTAGACTCAGAACTTCTTAACCTTCCCCATACAAACAGTGTTGAAAAAGGCTCTATAATTGATTTAGAGTAGTTGCTGCTCTGGAGTAATCTGTGAGGTGTTGCCATGTCAAGAATATGTATAAACTTAAAAAATACTTGAAAGGTTAAAGTAAACGGTTTCCTAGTGCAAAACCACCAGTTGCCTCCTTCTACCATCTCTTCATCCTCACAGTAAATGTGCCCTGCATGACTCTTGAATGCTTCCTCACTTGTGATTCTTGTGATGATTGTGTGGTACAAACTGTGGGTTGGGTTGATGATATGGTGTTCCCCTCATTGTTTTGATTCTGCACCCAAGTACAAATCAGACCAACTGCACAGACCCTCAAACTTAGTACTTACTTACTTTTCATTCCATTAGAAATATTTTACCACAGTTTTATCTATTTATAAAATATTTCATAATTTATACTCAGTGACAAGAAGAATAGAAATGTCTGCTCTTAATAGTTGCACTGCAATTGAATGAAGAATCTTTAAATATTTTGTTAACATAATTTATACATTATATAGCTAGTAACAAAAGGATTAGACACCTTTCAGAGATAATGCAACCAATGACTAAAAAAGGTACACATAAAGCTCTGTTCTGAATGGAATCCAGCCATCATTCATTTTATTATTTGTATCCATGAAAAAGGCCTATCATGGTAACAATAACAGGTTTCTGGTTTTCTCACTGGTTGTTTGTATGAACTCAATATTTATTTAATGTGAAATTCTATGTGTGTGAGGTGGTATGTGTTTGTATATGTGTTCAGCCACAGTCCATGGCAGAGGTCTTGGCCAAGAAAGAGGAGCTTGCCGACCGTCTGGAGAAGGCCAACGAGGAGGCGATTGCCAGTGCCATCGCTGAGGAAGAGCAGCTGACCAGAGAGATTCTGGCCGAGAACAACGACCTGGAGACGGATAATGAAAGTGACTTCTCTGTAAGATCAATCATGCTCATTTAGTTTGGATTGTGATTTTTTTTTTTTTTTTTTTTTTTTTTTTTTTAACCTCACTGTAAGGTAACATGAAACACACAAATCTTTACCACAGGCTAGCATTGGCAACGGAGGTTGTGGAGCCAATATTGACTGGAGTGACATGCTGGCAGATTATGACGGTATGGAGGTCAACATCTATATGAAAACTGAATTCTCATTTTTTGTAATGGCAAATATTACACTGAAGTCTGTTCATTTTCCTTACTTGTTTTTTCTGTAGCTCGTGAGCCATGGCGTCAGAGTACCTCATGGGGGGACATTGTTGAAGAGAACCTGCTCGGCCTCCTGGACATGGGATCCACATGCACGAGAAATTGTCCTCACCGTCGCGCAAAAGGTGCAAAATACACACACTCTAACACACATTGCCAGTATCACTGTATAATCAGCCTCGCTACTTGTTTAATGCCTTCCTGGACAGCACCTTAATGTACTCATTTGCAATCCCCTGATCTTATATTGACAAGGATTTAACCCAGCAGCCTGGGAGCCATAGACCCAGTTGCTGTTTCATTTTAGGTTACCACCTAGAACATCTGAACAGGCCCTAGTGTCTGTCAGAGTCTGGCTGCCCCTGCACATTGTTGATAAAGAGGAAAAATAGATGAATGATTTTTTCCAACATTTTTGACAGAACCATTGCAGAGTCAAAGAAGAAACATGAGGAGAAACAGCTGAAGGCGCAGCAGCTGAGGGACAAACTCCGGGAGGAAAAGACGCTCAAACTGCAGAAGCTCTTGGAGAGGGTGAGTAAATCGTGCCAAGTTGACGGAAAGCACCCTAAAGAAACTCTGCGTAAGCTAAGCCGAGCCTGGCTCTTAACGAGAGGTTTTGTCAGCACACTGCCTGATAGAATCACTAAATATTACAACCCCCTCCAGTCGCATCCAGGCCAGCTGGCCGCAGACAGTCGTGAGAGAGACCCCTGGCCAAAATCAACAGCCTTTCATGAAGTTTGTTTTTGTTCTCCAAGACCATGGCGATGAGTGAGTCCTAGAATAAATCAGGATTAACCACATAAATACATAAAGAGGTGTATATTCGCATTAATCCCCACATGGACACTGCTGGAGAGGGTAGCACCTGATAGATTAAGAATCCATTGTCTGTGTTGTCCTGAAGAATGTACATTATTTATTTTTATTTTCACCCACTCCTTCTTCTCACTCTTCGCTCTCCGCAGGAGAAGGAGGTGAGGAAATGGAAGGAGGAGTTGTTGGAGCAGCGTCGGAGGATGATGGAGGAAAAACTGTTACATGCAGACTTGAAGCGAGAGCTGCAGCTCCAGGCGATTGTGAAGAAGGCCCAAGAAGAAGAAGCCAAGGTAGAGGAGGGCATCCCCTGAAAAGCAGTAACCAAATGCGTGTGACAGCTGAGGAGTTTTCTGAATTAAGTGGGACATTTGCAGTCATACTTTTTGGGTTTTTTTATTACATGGGTAAAGTGTTAAAATACATTCATACATACGCAATCACCCTGAAAATGACTGCTGTGGATTGGCATTGTCAGTTCAATAATTCTTGCCAAAATACTGACAGACAAACTGACCACTTCGCTCTGTCTTTATGCATTTATGTTTTTCCATATTATATACCGTGTGTGTGTGTGTGTGTGTGTGTGTGTGTGTGTGTGTGTGTGTAAACTGTGTTTATATCATAGTTCATAAGCATATCTGTCTGTACAGGTGAATGAAATCGCATTCATCAACACTCTGGAAGCCCAAAACAAGAGGCACGATGCCTGGCCAAGTTAAATGAGTATGAGCAACGCCTTAATGAGCTGCAGGAGGATAGGCAGAGGAGACAGGAGGAGAAACAGGCCAGAGACGAGGCTGTGCAGGTGCTACAAAAACCAATGCACGATTTTACACTTCATTTTTCTTCTTGTAATTTTCACATTCAGGTGCATGTTAATCTCTACTCCCTCTGTAGGAGCGTAAACGAGTCCTGGAAGCAGAGCGGCAGGCACGGGTGGAGGAGCTGCTGATACGGAGGAAGGAGCAGGAGGCTCGTATTGAACAGCAGAGGCAGGAAAAAGAGAAAGCTAGAGAAGATGCAGCCCGGGAAAGGGCCAGGTATGTAGTCCAAAAGGCTTTCAATATGGAAATGTATGCAGACAGATGGCTGCACCAATCCTCATTTGATTCGGTCACTTGGATATATTAGAGACTTGTATTTACATGTGCAGTTGTTTCACACTGGTTTTCTATGTCCTGTCTGAAGAGACCGTGAGGAGCGTCTGGCTGCTCTTAGTGCTGCTCAACAGGAGGCCATGGAGGAGCTGCAGAAGAAAATTCAGATGAAGGTAAGTTTATACTGTGCCACCTTGCATCACCATTGGACACCATGCAGGCATCCCAGCTTCCCATATGACACTTGGTTTCCGGTTTCATCCATAGCATGACGAAAGCAGCCGTAGGCATATGGAGCAAATCGAGCAGAGGAAGGAGAAGGCTGCTGAGCTCAGCAGTGGTCGACATGCTAACACAGACTACGCCCCCAAACTGACACCATATGAGCGCAAGAAACAGTGCTCCCTGTGCGGCGTTGTGGTATGTACAGTTTTGTCCCGCCAGTCTCAGGGCTTACTTATGTCCATTGGTGTCCCTAACTTATATGCACTATGTTGAATCTAACAGTACAACTTCTATTGCATCTATTATTGTGGAGAGGATGTTAAAAAGTCCTTTTTACTTTCAAATGGGCTTGAGTTTTTCTCTAACCTTTCATTTAATTATCTCACTCTCCCAAACTAGTATGTGTCTTTGTGTACGTGAAGGAAAAGAAAAAGGGACAGACAGACGCTGCAGCAGAACAGCTCTGGGCAACTCCCCTGTTATTTGGCAGGCTGGATATACATAAAATTGCTGATAGGAAGGTGATTCAGAGGATTTTTGTAAGAGGCCACATTTAAATGAGGATTTAACGGCCTTGATTAAACATGGACTCTTTAAACAGAGATTTATGACTGGGCATGCTTATGCTTTTTCAAGTGTCAGGCAACAAATCCACAAGCAGACACATTTATATCTGATGGACCGGCTACCACGGCAACAAGGGTGGGACACCTTGAGGCTTCAAACCAGCATCAGATAAAGAGGACGGTTGGGGGGGTAAAAGAGGGAATCTTGTTAAATGTTGAATGACCTTGGCCAGCATCTGACACCAGAGATCATGGGTTGGTCAGCAGCAAGCACTTAATTTAATGACATTAAACACAAACCATTCTAAATGGGCTCTTTTCCAGAGATGGGAGGACAACATTGCTTGCAGTACACCTGCCTCTTGTTGTGGCCATTTCTCAGACCTGCACTACTTTTTATTTAGCCCTTTAAAACATTTTGTGAGGCATTTTGAGGTTGTTTGTGTTTTCAAATTTTTTACGTTTTCTTTTGAGTATTCAATTCCCAGTAGAGTGTTTTTTGTTTTTTTTCTTAATTGTTTTCTCCATCTCAACTCAGTTGCTGTAGAGTGACTCATAATGTAACAAATTGTATTTCCTTTCCTTAGTCTTTGCTTGAAGCTGAGGGTCAGGAGAAGCAGGTCATGTCCCAAGCCCATGTGGTATATCGTTTCACCAGCGTCCCATGGGGCTTTGTTGACCCTTTCCTGCCTCTGTCTCCATTGTTCCCACAGCAGTGACCTCTGACCAATGTGTTTGTAGATCACCTCAGAGGTGCACCTGTTCAGCCACACCAAGGGGAAGAGGCACCAACAGGCCGTGCGAGACAGTAGCAGCATCCAGGGACGGGAGCTCTCTGATGAGGAAGTGGTGCGTATCACCCACACTGTGCCAGGAACAAACATCCACTCATCTTGTCAAAGAATACTGCCCTACTGCTGCTTGTGTCATGTAAAAAAGACAAAGAGACACTGCGGTTGCCTTTTATGACGTGGTCATTATTATTGTTGATGCATCCCTGTATATACTGTCACGGCTCTGTTGCTGGCTTTGTGAGATTACAAATGGGCCTTGAAATGTACACAGTTAGGGTTCATTGCTTCAGTGGAGGGGTGACATCACCCCCCTGTCTCCAGGCGGTTTCTGTCATGGAGCGCTTTTCCATGGGAAGGCAGCTCGTTAATGCAAGGTAACCTCTCAGGCTGCAATATGAGATTGGCTTTTCAGCGGTGCTCATTGTGAGACTGACAACTGTTGGTGCTATACGCAGCACCTTTGGCCCTGGCAGCTCCTTCATTCAAAGCTTTTTTCAGTGGGAAATAATTGATACCCCCTCCTTCTTTTCCTCTAAATCATTTCCTTTCCAAATGCAGGTAATTTTTTTTTAGTTTGACAGTATGATAAACAAGGCAATGAAGAGAAGTACTTAACCAATATATCCCTATAAACAGTATATGAGTACTACTTCATATACATTTGCAATACTTCTTCTACTCTTTGATGTAGTTTTACCAGTAGCCATAATGTTGAGGCTTTACTGTTTTTTGTCAACACTGATTGGTCAGAAGTTTAAGCCCTCGCTGAACTCATAGTAAATGTTGTACTTGACAGTTTGTGTGTGTGTGTGTGTGTGTGTGTGTGTGTTGTAATTGGATTGGGCTATTAGTCACTGTAGTAGCTAATAGATACTATTTAGATGTCCAGAACTACTTTTTCTTATTCTCTGTCAAAGCTAATTAAGCTGTCCGATAGGTCTGGAGAGACTTTGTTTAGATAGACTTATGTGGCCCCTTGTTATGTATCTCAGAGCTCATTTTGGTCTCCACTATTTCATTCATACCCCTGCCAACTATTTTCCAGACTGCTGGTCCATAACTCTTCCTGCAATGAAAGATTTTTAATTAAAATGAAAATGGTTGGTTCACAGTTGTGCAGAGGTCGGCAAATGCCCTGTGCCTTCATATTTAGTCATTTTCTCTCATTCTGAAAGACTTGCGAATTAAATTTAAAAATACAATGATTATCAAAAGGTTAGGATCTATGTATGGGTGGAGAGCTTGAGATTGCAATCACTCTTTTTACTCACCATCTGTCCTGGCTTAGTAAGATGCAGGTAATATCCAAGACCCATTCTTGGTCTGACATAAGGACTTTATTTATTGATCACCTTTAGACACAACAGCTCAAAAAAACTGGTGGCTTCTCTGAAGAAAGTCTGTTCTGCTTGTCTTTAGTGCAAGGGGGACCTGACCAGTGGATATATCACCAGGCAGCAGAGGATATCATAGCTGACCTCCCAACAACACTGAATAGCCCTAAAGGTCATAGTTAAAGCTTCAATGATAGCCACAAATTGAGAACTGCGATGAAATATAAAGACTGCCAGCTGAAACAAGCCTGTCCCTCCCCAATACTGTTTTGAGATCTGACATCTGTCTGGTTATTGCAGTGAAGCTGCTGTGAATAGATAGATTTCAGGGGTTTTTTTGTCTTTTGTGTGACTTGTCCTCTCTTTTTTAAATGATTAGATGCAGTTCAGTACATAAAATGTCATGCAAACCACTGTAGTGACAGTAACTCAATCCAGTGTAGTATCTTATCTAAAAGCCAAAGTGAAATACAGCTGTTTGTTTCGAGCCAAATGGAAAGCCTACCTCTCAGGCCTTTGTATTTGACAAAAGAGGCAGTGGGTGAACATATCCCATAGAATCTGTATTTGTGTTGGCTGCCTTTTAGATCTGTTATAGGTCTGTTTGTGTCAGAGAAAGGGAGAGATGTTTAAAGTGGTATCATATTACTCCCACCAGAGGCAATCTGTGGTATTGTGCGGTAGCATTGCCCTTAGGCCAGCATCTTTGCTGCTTTGTTACAGTGGTTCATTGGAAGACCTCTGTCTGTCATCAGTCTGATGTAATAATTATATATTTATTTGCTAAAGAATCATAGTCTGTTTGTCAGCATTGTACTTATTTGATAGCTTAATATTTCAGGTACTCTTTTATGTTACAAGTGTGATTTTGCAAAGATGTTTTGGATGCGTCTCTGAAACAATTCCATTATGCGAGTGGCTGGATAGCCTCTCAGAGAGATTACTGAACAGCTGCCTCCCAAGTGAGGTACAGCTACGGTCATGAGTCATGACTGACCTGTAGTATTGCGGAGTAGAGGGCAGAGGGGTGCACATACAAATACAGACACTCACATCCTTCCTGGGAAACATCAGACTATCACTTGCAGTGCCCGTTTAATTTGCAAAGTTATTACCCCTTTCTCTTGTTACTTTTAGGCTCTAAAAAAAGGCTCAATCAAAATCATTCTAGGTGAGTTACCAACTTATTCACAAGTTTACTAATCTATCAACATTAAAGCTCATGAAAATGCTTCTAATCTTACATATTCTAAACAATATTGAATATGCATTACTTACAAAATCTAATTTGCATCATTAGGACTATGTTTATTGACATTGCTGGCAACATACTGTAAACAACCACTGTCATAACATTTTGATTTAAAGGTGCTGTATAATGGGGAAAACTGCATTTCCCTTGGCATAGTTAAATAAAAAGAGTTCAGTACATAAATGACATACCGTGAGCCTCAATCTCCATTGTTTCCTCCTTCATATGTGAATCTTGGCACCCAACATACTCCCGAAAAATGTGCGAATGCCAACGATGTTTATGCCCCCAAAGTTACATAGACCAGTCCATTTTCCTGATGAACATATAGCTTTACCTGTTGCTAACGCGGTTGTTAACTGCAGTAGCTCCTGATATCAGCTGGCTCTGAACCAGGGTTCCAAATGGTGTAAACACCAACACACACCCCAGAAACACCAAGCTTCCAGTCCGGGCAAAATCAGTAATAGAACTGCTAGCTCCGCAGCTAACTAAGTAGCTAACTTAGTAGTAGCTGCTGATAGCGGTAGTTGGCGCTAAAGTAACCAGTAACATATAAACTAACGTAAATCTGCAAAAGTGGTGGCAGAGCAGCCGGATGACATCAGAGGGAAAACCAGACAATATTTCTCCATCCAATGTGATACAAAGTTAGAAAATAAAGTTGTATTTTTGTACAGTAATCAGTGAGGGCTAGTCTCACATAGCAGGCCTTGTTTCAGTGCAGTGCCGCTCAGCCCCGCCTCTCTTCAGTGCTTGGGGAAGTTGGCCAATCAGAGGTATGTGGGCTTTCAGGGAGGGGGGCCTTAAAGAGACAGGAGCTAAAACCGAGGGTTCAGAAAGAGGGTCAAGAGATGCTGAAGCAGTGGACAGTATGAGATATGTGCATGTGAACAGTTTCTTGTAGAAACTCTAAATACAAGTGTGAACGTCAAAGTGAGCATTTTGTAGCACCTTTAAACATGGCTAGATCTTGATCGGTGCACAGAAATACATGACGTGACCTTTTCCCAGTGGAGTACTGCCCTCTTCCAACTAATGAGAAAAGCATAGACAAAAGAAAAAACACAGAAAATCTGTCATTTGAAATAACCAAAACTGTTGTGTTTTTGTGTAGGCTCAACAGGAAAATAGGTTTGTGGCACTCTTACTTACACTTTTCAGACCACCTACTGACCTTAAGTGAAAACCTCTATTCAGGCAGCAGGTACACTGACAACTTGTGACCAAAGGGTATGGCATCCCACACACAGGTTAGCTTGACTGCTGAATGGAAACCCTTTATCTGCTAGGCCATCCTGTCCTCTGGGGTGCTGGATGACAGCATAATTGGGTAATTGGTTTCTTGCACATGCATCATGTTGTTCAAATCGGGTTACATTCCCCTGTCTCCTGGTGGAAATATCAGAATCATCTGGCAGGGCCAGACAGGAGGCAACACCTCCAGCCTTTTAGCATGTCCGTAGGTGGGTGGCTTCAAAAGACTGTGGAGTATTGGAGGTAATTACAGGATACAGTGGTGTTATTGAGACGTGTAGATCTACATGTCACACAGTATCTTCAGTGCCACATCTCAAGGGTAGAACATCTAATTTGAGACATTTACCAAGTGTTAAATTTGCTGTTCTATTTCCTTTATCATTTAAAATAAAATTGTTGTTAGATGGTAAATTCTCACTGAGAAGAAGACAACAAGTTGTAATGATTAAGAGTTTACAATAAACACAACTCTTACTAGGATAAAGCAGTATAGTCTTACTTTTGCCATTTGCCAGCCTCCTGTTTTCTTTACAGTAGCTGTATCAGTGATTATTCGCAGATCCTTTACTTGGGTAAAAGTAACAATACCTGATTGTAGTAAAAGTTTTGCTTTCCAAGTTTGAAGTAAAATAAATATTATCAGCACAATGTACTTTGAAGTATCAACAATTAAAAGTACTCAGAATGGCTGTGTGTGCCATATTATATATCTGATATATAATATTAAACAATTGAAATATAATTACTCATGCCTTAATGCAGCGATTCCCAAAGTGGTACGAGTTGCCTCTAGGGGGTGTGGAAATCAGGAAAAATTTAATGCTGGTGTAGTAGTGTAATAACTACAACCGTTGATTTTTTGTGGAATGAAATAAAAACCTTCCTTTGTAAATTTATTTAAAATTAAAAACGTTATTATTAATAGCTCGCTCACACACCTCACATACCTCTTTCCCTCTTGCCTCTCTCTCTTTCTCTCAGGCTGAGCCACCTGCGCTGTACTTACAAATCCTCATATGGATCCTCTTTTTGTCCATTTTAGCTGTTTATGAGGCTGTAACAGGGTGCGATTCATTAAAAAAAAAACAGAGTGGGGATGTTTTGAAACGTTTTTGGGTTTTTTTGTCATGAAACCCCCCCAGGTGGACTGTGGATTAATTGAAAAGTTTTAGTTTTTATGTTTAAGCACCATAAGTGGGTAAAGGGAGAGCGATTGATTTAAAACAACAATGCATCATACTGTTGATGATTACGTGTTTCATAAGTAAAATTTTATCTGCCGAGTAACTACCACCTGCAGCTGTCCGATAAATGTAGCCAAAGTAGAGTATTTCCCTAGGAAATCTAGTTGAGTTGAAGTACAAAGTTGCAGAAAATGTAAATACTCCAGTAAAGTGTGGGTACCTTAAAACTGTACTTAAGTAAACTTTTTTTAGAAGCTTGTTATAGTAAATAATGGTACAAACATTTGCCGGCAATGTCTTTGATGTATTGATTTTTGTCTACTCTAGGAGCATCTTTCCTTGAAGAAATACATTGTGGATATTGTGACGGAAAGCTCTGTGTCTTCTGAGAGCGTGAAGGATGGAGAAGAGAGGCAGAAAGCACGGAAGAAGGCAAAGAAGCTCCGCGCCAGGATGAACTCCAGGTAATACATCCAATTTATCTCTCTTTCTGTCTATCATCTGCCGCTCTCTCTCTGTGTTTCTCCTCTCAGAGGCACAGAGGACAAAACTGTGCCAAGACTTTTTTTATGAGTGATAAGGAGATGGAAAGCAGATGTTATGTGCATCCTGGCTGTCCACATAGTAACACTGATGAGCTTAATTTATGACCACTTTCTGTGATTGGGGAGCAAAACTGCAAATCGATTTGTAGGGTCCCGGCTTTCACCTGTAAAGAGCTTTCCTCCAAATTGCTGCCATGGCATTGCCAAATCTTAAGCCTTCCTGTGTGTACAGGATGTATGTTAAAGTATGTATGAGCCATGCCTATTTTTCTTCTTCTGAGCTATTGATTTTTTAAATGAAGTATCAAAGAAAATCAATAGTAATCAACAAATAGGAGGCAGAGCTGCTGTGTGTCAGAAGCTGGACCTGAGCTCATTCAGTTTAATTGGCTGTCATAACAGGGAGCGAAAGAGACACCATGTTGACAATACTTACTGTAAGATGTTACTGATGCAGATTATTGGAAGTATTCCACTACAAGCTGGGTGACATTAATATCTGTACGCTCTAAAGAAGGAATGTTGCATTGGAGAAAAAAAAAGAGGCATAAAGCAAGATATAGCCTCTATCAAGCTCGTTGCTGAGGAGTCACTTACATAATGTAAACATAAACAATAAAATGTGTTTATATTAGACACTAGAGTAGCCTATAAATAAAGACACATTTTTGCGTTAAGTAAGCAAGCTAAGAAAATATATAAGCCCAATACAAATGGTCAGACATGATAAACACATACAAATATCTTAAGCGTTTATACTGCTTCTTCTTTTTTTCTTTTGTTAGCTTGGGAAATTTGTGGGTGCAGTAGTTCTCATGAAGCCTCGTCATCCATCTGCTTGGAAAATAGAAAACTGTCTCTGGAAGTGAATTAAATAATGAAGTCATTGGTATTGATCAGGAACCATATTAACAACACTGGTCTTTTTTCCAGTTCCATTGTTAGGTTTTTGCTGTGAAACAAGAACATAAATCCTTTATGTGCACAGAAAAATATCAAATTGACGATTCAGCTGTGGCTCAAGAATTAGGACAGGTCATCCATTAATTGCAGGGTCGGTGGTTTTATCCCTTGCACCTTCTGTCCACATTTTTAAATATCCTTGATCAAGGAACTGAATCCCAAATTGCCCCCAATGGCCACACCAGCTCGTTTGTAGTCCAGCCTTTACTTCCCGTTCTTGTGTCACAATGAAAATATGTGTCATAATGCTCGCTGAGCGACTAGTCTCACAAGCCCTCAAAAACACTGGTGGAAAAACACTGAGCTGCAGCACACCTCTCCTCTCCCTTCCAAACACTAGGTACCCTCTAAGCAGTCAATGGACATGAAGTTGTTACAGTGATGTAGAGACAGCGCTCAGTTAAAACTTTATGGATGAAAGATACTTTTGTTACAGATTAATAACTCACCACTCTGAAACTTTTGCTCCAGTCCAAATTGCCAACCTGGTTGGCAACATGTAGCCTACAGCTGAATCGAAGCTGTTTACCGGCCTTTCACTGACCCGCCCTTCTCTGCTTCTGATTGGCTAGTAGTCCTAACTAGGAACTGCGCATATGCAACTCCCAACAAAGATCATTTAGAGACAAGATGTATCACTCCATAGATAAAAACAAAGCCTTCAACACAGGGTGAAAAGAGGAGCTGCAGCAATGTGCAGTATGACAAAGATATGTTTTTTTGAAAATTAAACCATGTAAACCTGTTCTGGTACAACCCCTAAATAAGATTTTGAACCTGAAAATGAGCATAATACCACCTCTTTAAGAAACCTTCAAGGCTGAAGGATATGAAATTTTTGAGCATTAAACTCTTAATTTCCTGCACCAATTTATAGTGTAAATGGGGATGACACAAGGAGGTGGAAACCGAAACTAACTGAAAACACTTCTGATCAGGCAGAAATCTCACCACAAATCCACACAAATGCTCATTTTAGCACCTCTGATAAAGTGCAGCTCTGCCAGTTACGTTACCACTCGGCCGCAGTGCAAGAGGAGGTCCACCTTATTAGTATCACGGCCTATGCCTGTGTCACATCAGCTGGGCGGAGTTGATTAACACGGCAAGTCGACGTTATCATTTATACATTTGTTTTTCACTGTGTAAGAAAATTCATGTGTGGCTCGACATCGTGTGAAAAGTGTCAAATGGAGACAGATTAACACGACGTGAAATATTGTGACGTTTCAGTAATCACACCTATAATAGTAGTCATAACGATAACTAATAAAGGGATATAAATGATGGCATTTCTAAATTATCATTTCTAAACTTAGGTACGGTATTAAATTTTGAATATCTTGGTTGGGAAGACAATTATGGAATAACTTGGCACACTAACACTAACTGAATTATTGCAAAGAGTGTGCTCGTATTATCTTTATTGGGAATATGATTAAAAATAAAGATGTGAATATTTTTGGGCAAGACTTCTAATAGTAGCATCAATTGAGTATATTATTTCCAAAACGCAAAACTGGTGTGAGGAGGTAGCGAACAGCACTGTCTAGATGACCTCTCCAGAACTTCTCTCAGACATTTGTACTACTCTTGAATCTCTCTTGCCCATTTAAGTCCTGCTGTGTTCGAGTACATTTCTTCATTGGTAATCACAGAGGCCACTGACCTGTGATTCGGACCCTGAGTGAGATTACTAAAAAGCAAATCATTATTATTATGCTTTTCAGGGGAAAGTATTTATTCAAAAGAGGCATATGAGACAGCTACAGGCTGACGTACTCATCCCATTCTGCTACAGTGTTTTATTCTCAGTGCTGCTGTTTTTGGCTTTGTGAAGCTCAGCGGTACTGAGAAAGTGACAACATGATCTGTCTCTGTTCACCATCACTCCTGCACCAGCCCTGCTGAGACTAGCACTCAAAGGCAGCAGGCTTTCAGAGGTCATAAATAACCCAGAGCCCCAGTAAACATGAAGGTGAGCCGCTTCACCGTCGGGGTGGAAATGAACCGTTTTATTGGAACACCGTATGGTGTCCGTAAAACGTGAGTGGTTCTCACTAGACTTTTCACCAGGCCAACATGTAGCCCCGTCCTGTCATAAAGTGGTGCACAGACATTTTAACCCTCTCTCTTTTTTTTTGCGGCTTGGCTAACCCTCTCTAGTAATAAGTGTTTTGGGAAGGAAAATATGCTGTTAAAATTTTATGTAAGTAGCCTGTCAGTTAGTGTCAGGATGGGTTGGAAGCCAAATTCTCAACACTCCGATACGAGCTGCGTGCCTATTGTAGCTGGTTGCTTGTGGTTTGCTCAGCAGGGAACAGAGTGGCCTGTGTGTGTGTGAGGTGTGCCACCTCAGATGGTGGCGTCTGGTGTGTATACAAAGACACTCCTGTATGTAGTATTGAATACAGTGTGAGGTGGTAAGCATGGCCCTAACTCATTTTACCCAGTCTGCTGCCTTAGATTAAGGGGGGGAAAGTCCTGCTCATAAATGAGCATACATCCTTAACAATGTACATACAAGCTAAATGAATTTTAAGTACATTAAGTTAATAAAGTATTAGTATAATTTTAAGTTTCTGTAGGTTCTAGTCATGTTCATTGCCATTGAACTGACACCTCTAGTTCTGTGTTGTGTACATTTTAGTCGTGGTTTGAATGTGCTTTGGGGGAATTGGGGAGAAGTGTGTCTCTGTCAAAGAAATACATGTATAAAGAACTGAGGTCTGTTGTGTTACGAACTCCTTATAGATTTTTGCTTTCTCTCCTATTGCTGATCACCCGTATTTATTGCCTGAGGCTCATTTAACAAGGACTGCTTCTGACAATAATGAATTGCTTTGCAAATGCTCCCTGTTTAACCTGGTTAGGTATAAACCTGTCAGAGATTAATATTGTAAAATTATGAATGAGAAACAGGACGGATATTGTTCAGACCCTTCTGAAAAAAGGTCTGTGCTACTCATTTATCCTACTCACAGGAAATGGAAAATGGCTATATCTAGAATTGATACTGAAGAGTGGCACAAACCTATATTGTTATCCTTACTCACAACGTGGTCTATGACATTGATATCTAATGCACATAGAGTGTACTTTTTCTCTTCTTTTTGAAAGTAATATAGCTGATCTTGTAGTTGGCTGGTTTAGATTGTACCTTTTTTAATATTAATTTAAAATATATTTCCCAAACTGGTAAGTATTTGGTAAGACGAGGCTGCAGTTTTTTATTCTCATTTTTGCCAGAGTTTTGTAACAGCTACATCTATGCTGATAGTTAGTAAATAATTAAACCACTAAACAATAAATTAGAAATAACACTATTATTTTTCTGAATGCTAGAATAAATGCTCCTGGTGAGCAGTTTTAAGGTTTTTGGTATCTCAGTGTCCTGATCTAGCTGAGAGGTGAGTTTTCAATTTCATTTAGATGACTGCCCTTGAATGCAAGAGATTGTGAAAAGAGGATGAAGCTTTGGTTGGTCCGTGTCGGTCCTGCCGAGACAAATCCACCTGTCGTCTTCCAGGAAGTGTTTGATCCTATCAGTGTAGAGATGGGTAACCGGAAGACGCTCTATCTAACTGATCAATAGTTGCTTATCATGTCCGGGAATGCCTGATTGACTGATAGTGTCTTCCACCCAGTTTCTCACACACACACACACACACACACACACACACACACACACACACACACACACACCTAGTGGCATTACAGCTAGACTCAGAGTCTGGCTGTAATGCCACAGAAATACCAGTCCCCTAATGACCATGACCTTTTTAGTGGGTCACACATTCAAAACACTGGTTATGTTGCTTCTACCCCCATTAACTGTTTATTTGACAATGAGTCAAGTGAAGCCTCCCTTGTTAAAAAAGACTCAAAGGAAGGTGGATTTAAAGGTAGAATTAAATCTCCATGATGCAAAACCCCCGTCCCTACAGAGCTGGTGCCTGATTATTTTAAGCCAAGTTACTTGGTGGATGTCTGACAGGCCAAATAAACAGACTCAGCTTGAACTTTTTCCCCTCCCCTCCTCTTCACATTTTCATCCGCTGTGTTCTTTACTGACAAGTTAAAAAATACTTTTTTTTTCTGGGATACAGACTTTTTCCTACTTCTCCCTCTGCAGGGCAAAGGAATATGAGACGTCAATGGAGGCAAAGACACAGGTCCCTGACTCCCCGTACAAGGCCAAGTGAGTGTTTTCCTTTTTTTCACAATTTGATGTTTTGAAGCTTTTCTCAATTTTTAATTATTATAAAGCTACGGTGTAGGGCTGCAGCTAACAATTATTGTCATAATTGATTAATATGCTGCTTATTGTTTCAATTAATTGATGAATGATTTGGTTGATAAAATCATTTTTAAAAATCTGAGTAAGAAAATAGTAAAAATGCATGATATATTAAATTTTAGGATTGCAGCTAACAATTATAACATTTTACCTTTGAGAGGCTAGAACCAGCAAATTTTTTTCTTAACAAATAAGTGACAATATTATGTTTTACTCATTTCAGCGCAATTGTTTTGTCAGACCAACAGTCCAAAACTAAAGTTTAAAGCTTACTGTCATAGAAAACAAAGAAACGCAGCAAATCTTTACATTTGAGAAGCTCAAACCACCTTTTTTTGGTGATATATGCTTTAAAAAATTACAACGAACTGATAAACAGAATTGTTTATTTCTATAGATTGACTAATCATATAATCGACTAATAGTGCCAGAGCTTCTGTGGGTGGATAAACGTTAACTGAGGTAGCATGGACACATGGATTAAGAACAGGTCTTTGCAAATAGATTTCTAATAATGTTTTGCTCCTTTATGTTCAGGTTGCAGCGCCTGGTAAAGGACCTGTTGAAGCAGCTGCAGGGCCAAGACAGCGGCCAGTGGACCAACAACAAAGTGTCTGGACTGGACAGAACTCTGGGAGAGATCTCTCGCATCTTAGAGAAACAGGTAGAGCAACAAAAGGATCACATAAATATAGTAGAATATGTTATTGAGTTGTATGTATCTTTTATTGGTGTAGTGATTATTATTTTAATATATTGGTTATATATTAATGATCAGCAACTTTATATGCACCTATACGCTCACTTTTCTTTTAACATAGATATCTGTTACAGTGGTTTGAAGTTACCTGTTAGTTCCTCACATCCCCTTTGGTGCATTATGTGCTGGTCTGCAGATTGGTTGATTTAATTTATTTTATATCTCTTTTAGCTCATTGGGTAATCTTCAAGAGTCCACATTAAAAACATTATAGCAAACAATAATTAATAAATAATTTAGAGATAAAACAATACATATCACATACGTGTGTGTATATACACACACACACCCACACACACACACACCCTACAAACATTGGCACATATACTGTAATGTACATCTGTTCACATACAAAACCAATACTCTACAAAGCTACTGCCAATACAGAGGTGTCAGATAACTGGATCTTGCAATAGTCCAGCTGCTTTACTGTACTTGAAATGAGTTATTTTTATAACCAGTCAATGCCCACACCCATTCTTGCTCCCTTGTTTGCATACCTGCCATTTTCATTACTCATTTAGAAAGATCTATAATATGAGGTGAGATTATTTTGTATTTTAACTCTCAATTTAACTTCTATAACCTATTTGATATGAACATTGCCACATGTAAAGTACCATGGCTTCAATTTGCCCCTCTTTTTCAATAAATTTTTTAAATTTACTTTTAAAACCACTTTATTATTTTCTACCCATTTGACAACACACTTAATCATTTGATAAATACTTGTGCAACTGAGTTTGTGAATCTGCGTCTCCGATGGTTGTGTCATCCTCAAAAATATGTGCATTTGAATTGACTCATGATAAAGGAAGGTTATTGTTATATGTATATGATAAACAACAATGGTCTGTGGCAACTCCCTTGTCGAATGCCACAGGTAATCATTCATGAGGAAGAATTGCAGCCATTAACATAGATATATAGGAAAGGATTTCATCCAATTGATAGCATTTTTACTGACAATTTTTACTTTTTAAGTAGAATTGTGTCATCTATCAAAGTAGGGACACAACTACTTAGCCACTCGTACGTCATATGTATCAAAGCAGTTTCAATCAAATTATTTTTACGATAGGCATGTTGTTCGAAGGTTATTATTCTCCAAATATTTTCAAATGCGATCCTTAAGAATTGAACAAATTCTTGCAAGTATCCCATTCTATGGGGAAATTTTCTTGTTGCAAAGAAAGATCAGATAGTTAGTTTAAAGGTCTGATGATAGATTGCATTTACTGTATACAGTAACATAATATCTGACTCTAGTCTTGACCTAGATGCTACCACTTTTGCCTCATCCCTCTGAGATATTGCTTGTCTTAGTAGTTGGTCAATCCAGGGTCAAGGTTTGGCTTTGACTATATATTTTCCTTATAGGACCATGGTACTCAACAACATCTGTAAACGATTTTGTAAAGCAATCGACATTACAGTGTGTGCTGGTCTGCAGAGAGTGTCCTGCTTTGTTGCTCGTCTGTCGACTGAACAGTCTGCCGCGGTGCACAGGTCATGCCAGCCCTTTGGCATGTCTCTTTAGTGATGAGTTGTCTTTGGCTGTGTCTCCCTGTCTCTCACCCTCCCAACGGAGAGTATCACTTACTCCAAACCAACTTGCCTTTGGTTATTGGCTAATGAAAACCAGATTAACTGTGTTTTCATTGTGCACATGGTACCAATAGAGGAGCTTCCTAGCACGAGAGCAAGCATTGTCTGGTATCTATGTGGCTTGCACAACTCAGATGTCACTGGTTTAGACAATAGTAAATTGGATTTCCAGATAAAATGCCATTGATGCACAATATTTTATTGAACAAAGGCAAGCAAATTTGATGTGTTTTTTTCTCAGAGATTTTGCATTTTTCTTCTGCTGTATAAGCATATATATAATTGTCAGATATAATGGCAGACATTTATAACTACAGTTGATTTGAAACATCTGTCCCAGAGGTTTTGTTGCGTGGAATTTTTTTACAGTAAAACTCACATCAATTTGAGACAGAGAGGAGGAATTAAAGCACCTGCCATTGTGTTTATGATGAGGAGAATATACAGCCCACTTCCTGTAATAAGGCATAAATTTCCTGCCAAGTTGTGGTTGAAGCCATCATAACATCCCATTGTGCATGCCTCTGGGCATGAGCATAGAGAGATGATGGTGTCCCATCAGTGACGAGGGGGACGGCTGGAGAGGCTATTATCGAATTTCCCCAGAGAGGCAAAGAAAGAGAAAGAGGTGGCTGAGGTGGGTGGCAGAGCGTCCTGTAAGGAGAGAGGAGGAGACCAGTGTGATGTGAGTAGCTCACAAGCTGTCACTACATGAGGGCTCCTCCCCTCAGCTCCACATAGTCCCAGTGGGAGGTCAGAGGTCAGTAGGACACGGGAGATGTACTCCATTCAACAGTAGTGTCGCTGGTAAAGAGGCAGATCAAGGCTCTGTCCGGGTGCTTTTGCTTTGCCTTTTACATTAGTTCAAAAACACATTTTAAAACTGTTTTGTCAAGTTCTGCTTCACCAGCGTTATACAGAAACATCTACCCAAAGCTGAGTGGAACATTTGTGATTGGCCAGTGAGGCAGCCTGGGGTGCACTTCCTCTGTAATCCCTGGACAAAGTCAAATAAATAGAGTCTCCGTCAGCATAGCTGAGTCACGTCAAGTCAGTACCATTTAGATTATTTGACCTAACAAGCATCTCTCATGTCACTGACTAACCTAGAGATTTGTTTTTCTCCCCCATATCTGATTCAGTCTCCACTTTCTCTGCTAATTCCTTAGACAACACCCGACACTCCCCCTCCTGCGCTGTTGTTTGGGACCCCCCCCCCCTTACTCCTCCACTGCTTTCTAGGCTTCGTCTAGTCTCTGACCCCAGTGTGTTTCTCCCTCTGTGGCCTCTAATGGTTTATTTTGTGTCAAACCTGATTTTTTTTTCCCCCTTTACTTTTGAATGAGAAAAACATTTTTCCCAATGTGCTGCTCTTTTCTTTTTGCACACTTGCCTTATTCTTAAGCACTTGTGTTTATATATTTCCCAAAGTGTTTACCACTGCTTTCAGTTAAAGCCTGTCTAGAAAAGGACAAGCATCAAGAGCATGGTGCGCTGAGAACCAAAGACTTTTATTTGCCAGCTGTCAGAGCCTGGTTAGCCTGACCAGTGGAACCAGTGGGAATTGTATCTGGGGGGCATGGGGGAAGGTGAAGGGCAGAGTGGCAGGATAATAAGGACTCTTGCTTGGGCCTCCAGCAGACTGACAGATACAGCCCAGATCAGCAGTGTCAATACTTTGTCGGAGACGGCAAAAGTGAGCAGCATGCTATTCAGTTCAGTTTAGACAATGTCCATCTTTATGAGCGAAATATTCTTCGGCTGCTCTTCAGTGTAACTGAGTTGTTCCTTACTTCTTGGTTAAGAAAATTGTTAACAATGTGTAGCATTACAAAAACTGATGTCGTCGCTACAGTATGTGTCAATAATATGGCCATATTCTTTGTTTGTCCTCTGTGTTTGACATTGGTCATTAACACAGGAGTTTTTCTATCTGGTGTCAGTGGCGATGTTCCCACGCTGGTGTGGTTTATCCCAACCAGCAGTGACTGGTTTGCTAGAGCTGAAGAGGGGAGCGACCGCAGCCACAGCAGCAACTCAGTATGGCAGAGCCATGTCATAAGCACGTGTAGACAGTGTTGTGTAATTTCTCTCATTGTCAGAACAGGGAGACAAAAGTTCCGCATTGCAGGTTTGGATGGTATTATCACATTCCTTTGGTTTCTGTGATTGGCATTTGTCATCATTTTGGACATTTTTAGATGAGATTATTGATCAAATAAATAACAGAATATTTCTTTAAATAATTGTTAGTTTCAACCCTAATGTTAACATTGTTGTCCTGTTAGACTAAGCCATTTTGAACGATTTTTATGTCAAACCTCTATATCATCTCAGAGTCATTTGCTTGTAAATAATGAAGATGATTAATTGAAAATAATAATTTGTACATTAATGGAAAATGAAAATTGAGTTTCAGCTCTAATGTTTTTTTTTTTCCTCACCACAAGACCAATAGGGAGTGAAATGGTTCTAAACTGTAGTTGTAACTAATACACCAATAGTTACAACTAGAGGCTGTCTGTGGTTTCTGTGGCAGGTTTTATTTTGGCCATTTGATTAATCTTCGTTCATTTTACAGAATAAACACAGTTTGTAGAATTATCCATTTCCATATTCACTCTGCACTCACATAGTCTATTAAATCATATGCCATTATGTCGTGTAAACACACAAGTTTATACTCGACCTTAAAATGTTTACTCCAGCAGCCTTGTTGTGGTTTACAGTCGACTCGGCCCACAGAGCTTTGTTTATCCACTCTCAAGCTCTTCTATAAGGCTGTGTAATGATGAAATTCATGTGAGGAGAGGGTGAACTGTCATACTCGTCTCTTTCACCGGTTTTAGTTGTGAAGGAGTGAACTCATGATTTGAAGGTGTAGATCAAAGTTGAAGCCAGCCCTTAATGAACTCTGCCAGTTGTTGTCCATCTGTTGGCGGGGCAGGACGACTGAGGCTGTGCCCTCCTCGCTGCTTTAATTAAAGTGTCTGGTGGGAGGAGACTACAAAGTGCAATCTGGCTTGTCTGCTGGTCTGCGGACACTGTCGCAGGAATTGCCAGCTGCTCTGGGCTTCCCATCAACTGGAGTAACAATGGTCACCCTGGACAATAATTGAATAAGATTCCCCCTGTTGTATAATTCAGGAGACATCCTTCCCGCTTGTGTCTTAATGCTCTGCCTTTGGTGGTCGCTCTTTTTTTTTTTTTTATTAGTTTCTCATCCTGTTAATGGGATTTGATGTAGCTTCTGTTAGGGTGTAACCAGTGAATTTCATCTTTGTGCTTTCAGTACAGAGGTACTGAGAATCTCTGCCATGTTTAGCCTGGGGGGGGGGGTCATCTTAAATAAATGACTCAAGCTGATTGCTCGATTATCCAGATTGTTGGCCATTATTTTAATAGTTGACAACTAATCAATTATTAAACATTAATCGTTGCAGCTTTACAAAGCAGTTCTCCTTGTGAATCATAAATTGACTTGAATTGACATGTAAAATCTGTGCAATGGCCCTGAAAAGTAAAACAAGGCTTAAGAGTTTACAGCTACATTAGCAGCTCTGTGAGTCCATTAATTTTGCATGTATTTAGTCATAAACCAATGAAAAGTTAGATGAAGCTAGATGAAAAGTTAAGGGAAATTTAAAGTTACCTTGTGGGGGATATTAACATCTGAACCAAATTTCATGGCAGTCCATCTAATAGGCTAGTTGTCGGGACATTTCGCTCACCTTCGATGTGTTTCTGGAGTTAAAGTCAGGGGATTGCCAAAGTCTGTAGCATTCACCCGCTGGGGCCCATGAATATCTCTACAGAATTTCATGGCAATTCATACAACAGTTGTTAAGACATTTCAGTTCGACTGAAGTTGTGGGCTGACAGGACAATCGACCGACCAGCATTGCCTTAGAGCCATGCTGTTAACATGGCTGAAAAATATGTTCTGACAATTTCAGTTCTGCATTACTTACATATTCCAGCCAGCCACCACGCATCCAAGAGTTTCTTAAATGTGAGAGTGTGCACAGTTGCAACTTTTTTTAACTAACTTGGATTGCAAACAAGTGAATTTCCCTTTTAAGACCACTGGGTGGACCTTGGTGAAAACATTGTTTTCATCCTGTTAAGTTTGTATGCAAATTTGGCTGTGTACATACACTGTCACTGTAATTACATACAAACATGATTTCTGTTGCCCTGTGTGGTAAGGTTTGTAGAAATGATACTGTTCTGTCATCGCTCAGAAAGTCAACTGCTTTGCACGGCACAAAGATCAACATTCGGGGACCTGTTATTATGCAAAACAAATCTTCGCTTTAAACATTATGTTTTGGTGAAATGTGTGTCCTCGCACTCTGGTGCCTTCTTTGTTTTCTGTGAACCATTGCATGCATAGACCACCTAAAGATAGTATGTCAGGTAGTTTGAACTTAATCCTCTTCACTCGTATTGTTCCATTATCACAACAGATAAATCTGTCAGCAGAGAAGAAAAGGCACGGACTAGCCAAGAAACTCTTGTCTGGTTTCCACAGGAGACAGCCAGGACTGGGCAGGTCCCAGTTACCCCATTTAATACTGTTTGATAAGCTGCTATGAAAGAGATGCCTTTTCTCATTTAGCCTAGAAGCTTTTAGGTAGGTGTGTTGATGGGAGGGTTAAGAGAGGGGTTAAGCCAAGCTCAGTGACTGAGACCCAATTGATTAGGCATGGAAACTGCTGGCAACATACAGAAAGGAAGTCATAATAAGGTATTTTTTTGCAAACACTAGTCTAGTTAGACTCTTGAGACTGTCTTTGAGACATTTCTCATTATGTTTAAGGCAAAGGGTCTTCAGTGTGGTTGTTAATGTTTTTGTTCCAAAACCTAAATGATTGCGTTTTCTGTATGTGTCTAACACTGGAATCGAGGAGCAGTTACCTCACAGCGAGCATGAATGACAGATGAAGAGCTTATCTGTAATTTGGTAAAGCGCTTCTCTCAATGTGTTCAGGCTTGTTGGCAACTTCCCATCTGCAGAACAAAAGCACTGTGAAGTGGCTGGATTTTAGTGCTGTCACAGCACTGTGGAGCCTGTAACCTCATCAGGTGGAGGAGTGACCTGCAGTTTAACACGGCCCTTTGCAGTTGTGCGAGGAAGGCCCTCCATCAGCGGCTCCCCTCCAGCTCCTTTCCTCCCTGACGACCCAGGCACAAACACGCCTGATAGTCAGTGCTCGCTCCTCGCTTTGTACTTGTTGATTTATAAGACACTGTAGCAACAGGATCTGACCTACTGCCAATTACTCTATCATCACAGGATGGCAGGTCCTAACTATTTACATGTGTTCTTAAATCTAGTGGACTGGACTGATGTGTTGTATCTTCTACTGAGTTAGTTCATTCTGTTTTTTATATTGTAAGTGAAGAAAAAAGAATATAACTTAAAAACAACGGGAACCAAAAGACTTCACTTGTAGGACAAAAATAATAAAAACTTCTTTATTCAGTCATCAAGTTCTGTTTACAGAAACCACATAATAGTATGAAATTAAGTTATTTTAACCATTATCCTCATCCATGGGACTACTGCTGACTTTTTGTTTATTTAGTTCATTAAAGTCCTCACTGAGTGGAGGAATAAGCAGTGTGTGACAGGGATGTGTACCTTTTTTTATAAAGCTGTAGAGCAGTAGTTTGTAAAAATAAGCATAAAGGAGTTAAGCTTACTATGCAAAACAAAGTTCTTTTATGGACATAAAAACCTGTTTAGTGTTGAAATGAAACCGTTTGATTGTGCAATACATCGAGGAAGTTCCTCATTATGTGTCTCTTTAACATTTGAGTGGGTTGCTCTTTGTTAACTGGGTATTTTCTGTTTTCATACGTTTTAAAATGACATAAAAAAATTTAAAATATTAAAAAGTATTTAACATTGACATTCAGAAAACTTTTATTTTTTCAAAAGTACTTTACATGGGGGAAAAAGAAATAGTACTGTCTAAACGCCATCAAAAACAGCCAGGTATTTCTATAAAATTGGTTTGAGAGCACTTCAATTTCCAGTTTCTTGCAAACACTGTCCAATGGCATTACCATGTCCCCTGTTAACACCCTCATTTGTATATTTGAAAAGCTTTTGTCCGACACACTGTCTGCACTCAGATCTTTAGGCTAAAATAAATAAGACAATAGACGGAACAAAGACATTGACATGACCAGAGCCATTAGAGGCAAAGCACGACTTGGAGATGGGACAATTTTGTCAAATACTCTGAAATCAGGTTGTAAGGAAGGTCTGCTATCAGCGCAGTATTTTCAGATTTAAAGTAACTAAAAGTATGAGAGGCACTCCTCAGCAACCGTATGAGGCTAGATAATTTTTAAGGTAGAAGAAAAGTCGGGCAGGATTTCATAGCTCTTTAATCCCTGTAAATGCTGACACAATAGGTACATTAATGTAAATGCTGCATCTTAGTTACTACAGTAGATCTAAGTATTGGATATAGTAGATGTAATCTAATGTCTTAGATGTACTAGTATCAGTTTAGGTCATGTTATGATAAGAATCTAATGTTTGTCTGTATCCTATCCTATTAGGATGATTGTCTTCATTTTTAAGTTCTGTAATTGCCCCATTTTTTGGCAGAGCATTTTCTCCGTTTCACTTTGGTCTGTGGTCTTCCATTCAGACCACCCTGGTGCTAAATGGATCCTGCAGAGCATTTGCCTTCCACTGAAACTTGACTGTTGTGGGGCGGAGTCGGGTTGTGCACTTTTGAGATTAAACAGGAATACTTCTGGGATCACCTTGTTTCAGATTTCAATCCCTCACCCCTGTAGGAGAAAGAGAGGTTCCCTCTCTGGTGAGAGCCATGTAATCCCCTGTCCAGCCTGTGGCTCCTTGTCCCCTGACTGTGTGTGTGTCTCTCTCTCTCTCTCACTCTCTCACTCACTCTCTCTCTCACTCTCTCTCTCAGAACAATGCAGACCAAGTGGCCTTCCAAGTGGGCGGTGGCCTGTCGGCTCTGGAGCAAATTCTGCAGGTCATCGCTGCCACTTCCACCCCCACTGCAGTTCCTCGCATTCCTCTCAAGTGAGTACCGTCACCAAAATGAAATATTTCCACTTTAATTAACATAATGATGTAAGTGGATGGATTGCTGGGGTATTTTCCTGTTATTTGACACACACACCTCATAACAACAACAAAAACAGTTGTTATGCATTTCAGTTTATTAACATGACTTTAATCACGTTTCTGTTTCAGGCCAGCAGGGTGAGCTGTATCTTTAGCTTATAATCGGAACAGTTGTATTTCTGAAATGCTGACCAGTTGTTGTTGAGATAAGTGGTGACATTAGCTATGAGTGAGACGAGCGTGATCTGGTTGACTAGGTGTAAGTCTAAATTTTGGTTCATTGTCTGGATTGGAACAGGTGTGGTGATTGCAGTGATTTGAGGCATGATGACCCCACTGAAAATACACGTTCTCTTTTTGTTAATTTGCACTAAAATAGCACAGGTTACAATTACATCACAATACATCTTATAATAAATATCTGTCCGTGGTGTTTATGTTTGTTTATGTTCTGATGCAGTATCTTATTGGATTAAATACATCAGTAGCTACTATTAAGGCTGTACTCAAATAGATTATGAAAACACATATGGACTGGCTTAGTCAATATGACTAGCAGTACACCTTAATCACTTGCAAAAATATAAACACAGTTTTACATTTATGGGCTGTGTACAAATACACAAGAGGCTTTTTGTCTGGGGATAAATGTTAGCTAGACTGAAAGAATAGAAATACTATTAAGGGATTTCATTTTAGCATTTCTGATTATAAAACTTTAAAAGACAAGAACACTTTTGGGGATCCATACTGTTTAATTTCTGTTTACTCTGTGCTGTGTATTTATATAGGCCTCAAACAGCTGTTACCATCCTTCTTCCCAATGACTACTCTTTGACTGTATCTTTTCTCTGACCCTGACAGCACACTTCTTTATTTCCTCTTTGTGATTGTTGTTGCAATTGCATAAAGTGAGTGAGCCAATCTCAACTAACCTACTTAATCACTGTTTATAACTGCTTCATCTCAATAAGTATTCTCAAACTGTATTAATGAGTAGCAGCGCCTTCTAGTAATGGAAAGCATTTCCATTTCCGTAATCAATTTGTGTTCATTCTTTTCTCTCGAAACACAAAAAGCACATGTGTCCCATCTATCATTTAGAGTGCAGAGTATTTTTGAGTTGTGGGTCTGGCGTTTGCATGGCCTGCCAGTAGATAACCTCAGAGAGGCTGCTGTACTCACTAGTGGGACTCTGTAATGGACTCGAATGGCCTGGCTCTCCCATTCATTAGCATTTACTGGTCTCTGAATCTCTGCTAATGGACCAATGCTTCTTATATTTATAAGGCTTTTAAAGGGCATCATATGTATATTGATTTTTTTTGGTACTCTCTCCTCCTCAATCATTGTAATCTGGGGGAATTTCAAGCAGACTTCTGAATTGGAAGAAATTTTATTATCTTAAATGGAGAGACTGTCTTCTTGTAGAAAGTGTTTGCTTGCTGAGTTTGTTTGCACATCCGTGCATGGCCGAGTGTGAGCTTAAGTGCACACAAGACCTCCTTGGCTTTTAATGCACCATCTTGACATGCTGTGGTAAAGGAACAGGAAGGCAAGATTAAGCCCTTGTATTTCTATCCTCTGCACACTGGCCCAATCAAACTCTGTAGTGAGTTATGAATAATTATAAAAGAATAATTTTGAATTAGCTTTTCTTTCATAACTGAACTCCTTCTTCTTAAAGTTCTCTGCAGAGGAGTTTTAAACGAGCACGAGATTAACATTGGTCAGACAAACTCTACGGTATGTCCAAGGCCTAATAGTTTATTTTAGTAGCTTGTTTAGAATTGAGCTTGATACCTTGGGTACACTGTCTTGCCTCAGTTAGTCCTGTGCTGCTATTACTGCTGGACCCTTGAGAGCTTTGCCAGCTGAGAATTGAACCGGAGATAAGCCAGTGATGAACACATCAAGCCAGCCCCATGGAGACATTTATCCTGACCATGTATGCTGTATACAATATTGTATGTAGCTTGTAGAATGTACTGTGAGAAATTTATATAATAATGACTATGTAGGCTACAACTGTTTATGTAACTAAAATGCGATTCATTTTTATGAATCCATGTGTTGATATGAATAGCTAAATTGGTACTTTTTTTCTTTCTGTCAACCATGTATAACGCAGGAGAGGTCACTCTTTAACCTTGTGATGCCACTCAGTTCAGGTCAGAGAAGCCTGGACCTGGCGATGAGATGCAACACAAGGACGTAGCCCGGCTGTCTACTTATCACTATCCGTCATCTGGATGGCTGTGTGGCCTAATGGGCTGCCATACAGACACTAGCTCCAGAGTGTGCTACATTATCTGTTTACAGTGATGCTGCCGTATTGATCACCTCCTCCTACCAGATAAGCAGAGTGATTTACAAAAAAGGCAGCTGCGTGCCGAGATGCTCCTGCCATATCTCTCCCCAGGGAGGCTGATTGCATATTGTTACCATTACATTAATGAGCTAATTCCTCTACGAGGCTCCGCTAATGTCCTGGTGTAACCCTGCGGTCACAAGAATGTCTAGATCAGGGTTAATGCAGTCACTGTCATTCGCTTCAACTGGAATGTTGATATCTCACAAAATGCAACTGAAGAACTTAATTGTTTTCTCTTTTGTTATTTATATCTACCTCTTAGTAGCAACAATTTTATCTGCCGATTTCTTTCTTTAAGACCATTTTCTTCAGATTGCTTGTTTTATCCAATTAATCAAAAGATCTAAAGTTAAAACCAAAATATATTAAATTTACTTTTATTCCCATTAGTTTTTTTGGTAATTTTGCTTTAACAATTACTTAAATAATGTATTGTTGCAGAATAATTTTCTTAATTGTTTCTGCTCCATTATTAAGGTGACTTTAATATAAAATAATACCTATAAATTATACTCATCATATATACCAGCATCAGTACCAGTTGAATATATAATCACTATTATCTAGTTTAAGCTGTTTCGTATCATTTCAGGATCATTTCAGTATTTTTAAACCTTGGCCCTATTTGGAATTTGTGCAGTAGATTGCCACAAACTGGCTGCAATGTTTTGTTTCAGGGTGCTCATCAAAATTATGTCTACAAACGTTCTTCTTTTTGCCACCTACAGACTCAGACTGTTGTGTATATACAACAACTGAAGTCTCACTGAAATCTCGTGAGAGGCTAATTGTTGCAGGAACTGCCAGTGGAAACGTGATTTAGAGTCGGAGAGTGGAGTTTGTTGTGTTGGAGTAACGTTAGGAAATGAACACAACAAATCTCCTCTCCCTCTTTTTCACCGGTGTTTCCTGCAACAACTCGCCTCTCACAGATTTCAGAGTGAGAATTATCCTTAAGCGAGACTTCTATTTCTTCTTAAAAACAAAGGGTTTCACCAGGAGTCACTTGTAGGGATCTTTCTATGATGTTAGACATCTGGTATAATGGTCTGGACCATTTATACTTCTGCGACAAATGTAAGCCATAGGTACACTATAGGCTACGCATAGTAGTGTACCCATGTAATCTGTGCGTAGCCTACATCGTAATTGCAGAGCGACACACACAAACGCGCAAGTATAAATGCTCAAAATGGAACGTAGCCTATGCCATATAAATTGGCCTTGAGCCTGGACGTAATTTTGACGGGCACAATTACCTTGAAGTAATACGTTGCTGTCCCCGCAGCCACTTCACAGCTGCCGGCTGAAGTCATCTACTGCACTGATTCCAAAACTTGTTGTAGCCACTTGTCATTGTGACAACAAAATAAGTGGGGAAAAAAGGGCCCATGTTTAAAAATAGCTAAAAAAAAAGTTGATATTCTAATGTTCTGGTCATACTGTATGTTCACAATATCCTTTGATTCCAAAAAAAAAAAAAAAAAAAACTTGAACAGATGGTCTCCAGAAAAGGGTTTAGGAGTCCTTTGGACATTGCGTGTTAAACCAATTTGTATTTCCACCTCTGTCTCGCATGACCTGGTGTATCCTGTGAAATCAGACCTGCTACCTGTGGTTTTATTTCAGGATGTTGTCCACAATTTGTGACCGCGTGTGTGTGTGTGTGTGTGTGTGTGTGTGTGTGTGTGTGTGTGTGTGCGTGCGCACGTGCTCATGCTTCTGTGCATGATGGCGTGTGACGGCTCATCAGATTTCTCCTCCCTTCATACCTGGCCAGTGTGGCACGACAGCCAGAATAGATGTCTTGGAAGCACTCAGGGTATCGGAGAGATCAACAGCAGAATCAAATTAAATGTCATTTAGATAGCAGTGAATGAAAGGATTGTTTGACAGCACAAGGAAATGGATTTGCTCCTCACCTTTTATTTTGGCTTAGGATTCTTTTTCTTCCCCCGAACACAAATTTACCCTGTTTAAGAGGCAGGGACTCAACCTGATCTGGAAGTTGGTCAGATTTCTTCAGCGTCGCTCCAGTCAGGCTTGACTGCGCACATAGGAAACACACTGAGAGGGCGAGAAATGTGAGACTCAGGTTGAGAAGCACAGATCTCACGGCTGATAATTCAAGGCAGTGACAAAAAGCATAAAGAGCCTTTTACTTGCTTGTTGTGCTGTTGTTGACTGAATTAACAGTTTGCTATTTACTAAAGTAAATGGTCTTTGTTGAAAGATAGACACAATCCATAACCATATATCTCCCTGCTAGGGAAACTGCGTTTATGGTCATTACTTCTGATTGATGCCGGAGAGTCAACTAGGCAGTGAAGTCTGGATGATTTTTAAATCATATTGTGAACAAATCCTGACCTTAAGGAATTGTTTCTTTCTCTTCTTCTTACTCTTTGTTTTCTAGCATTGCTCATAAACCTTTACCTAAAATTAAACCTCCACCTTATTGTGCATAGGCCTGTTGGCCACCCAGGCAGCGCCCCAGAGGGCTGTAAGGGGTCGAGGCAGGATCAGGTGTGCTCCATCCCTCTACCTCTTGGCCTCATTTCTCTATGGATGTGAATAGCTTTACAGGTAAAATGGTATCCCCTAGCTGTGTGAGGTTAAGCTGTTTAGTTTAGGTGTGCAGATTATATAGCTCATTATTTGCATCTCACTTCCTTTCTAAATCTCAATCAGCGTCAGATCCGTCGTGTTGATCCACCACTTAAAATTATGACAATAGTTTAGTACTTATTTTTTCATAGCAGAATTGTTGTAAGAGTGACAATACACCGGATGGGTGGCAATAGATAGTGGTTGTGGTCATTTAGGGAACATGTGAAGCACAATCTCTCAGTGTAATGAGAATCTCACAGTGTTAGTGTAGGTGGAGGAATGTTGTCTGCTTAGAGAGACTGGCACACATCAGTCTCCACAAAGTTTTTGTGCAACATGAGACAGGGTGGCGTGGCACTTTACCAAATTGTTCCTTAAAATCTCTCACTGGAGCTGTCATTGAGCGGTATTGAGATAGTGAGATTCCCAGAGAGGGCAGACTATCAGGTGTCGTGCTCATCAAGCTCAATTAGGTGGGAGGAAACCAAAGACAGATCACTGTGATGGTTCATTGTACAAGCTGGTGTAAGGGCATAACTCAAACATGCCTTCGACAGCCTTCTCATTTGTTCAGAGATGACCAAAGACAAGCCTGATTAGCTGCAGTACAAAGCAAATGCATGCTCATTACATGAGCAGTTGAGTGAGTTGATTGTGAAGCCGATCTGTCTTGGCAGAAATGAAGGGATTTAATGTAGAATATGCTTGTCAGGTTGAAGAGAGACTATAGTCGTGCCTTGAATTAAGTTATTAAAAACCGTCATATCACTGGTCACTGTGTAATGCTGCTTTCAAAGTATTCGTCTATTCATTTTTCTTCAAAAGCTTAGCCTTTACATTACCCTTTTTATACTCTTTAGTAAAGTGTTTTAGTTCAAGTGAAAACCACTGTGTTTGGACATATGAGATGTGTCTATGCATATACACATTATACTTTGGGGAAATCCAAATAACAGAAACAAAATAAGGACATCTTTTTGAGAAGGCCAAATTATGGAAAAACAGCAAAGACGGGCGACAATATATCTAAACTTAAATATACCTACTTTTTATGTGACGAGGGAAACGGTCTCAAAAATCATGGCATCATATGCCAAATTTGAAACGTTGAAGAGTGTCCAAAAGGCCTCATAAATAGACTGTTGACGCATTAATCTTTTCTGGGGGCCTTCTTAATATTACAAAACTACCAAAACAAAATTGATAATAGAATCAAATGAGTACACTTGTCACAGTTTGACAGAGTTGATGTGTATGACAAAGCTACAATATGGAAGGAACAAACAAACTCAAAAGTTACTATATATGCACATACTGATGAGTTGTCCTTGTCCCTATCTTTTTTTAAGATCATTATTTTGGGAGGCATTTTAGCCTTTATTTACGGGAGAGAGGGGAACAACATGTGAACAGGTAATAAGGCCACCTCGAATTCAATCCTCTTTGTTGTGACCACATGGTTTGCATCTTCACTACTAGACTAATTGGACGCCCTGACGAGGTTTCAGTGTGTCTTCTTAACCACATATTTTCACATGGTAATATACTGTTCTGTTAAACAATCCCAAGAGTGGTCTCATGAACACCAGGATGAGTAAGAAATGTTGCATTTCCTCTCCGGTCTGCTGATCTAAAGCTAAATCTTTACAAGTTCAGAGTTCAAAGTAGATTACTGCTTTCTTCATTTCTTCTTGAAGGAATGATTAAATATCCGATTATACACTGTTTAGGGCTTGTGTGGCAGGATTCCAAGGAGGATTTAAGCCGTTATTAAAAAAAATTTGGTGACACTACTTCCCTGTCTCCCAGATATACTTTGTAAAATTCACACAATGAACATTTGGCGGGAAGAGAGCACCAAATCTCAGCTGTCATAGGTGTAACCTGAATGCTGAACTTTATCTGGCTGTTCTGAACCACTCTTTGACAGTACTGAAGTCAGTCCTGCATAGTAATTTTATCTCTGATAGGTCATATGATATCTCTACTATTGTGCACTACTTTACTCAACAGGTACATTATTTTAAATACCAGGACAGTGACTTAAGGTACCTGAAGTAGCTCAGTGTCCTTTGGAGGAATGTTGTGTAAAGCATGCAATTATACAATAGTATTTGACGAATAAGTAGTGGAGTTGTCATTTTCGTATTTACATAGAAACTGATCTTTGTCTTATGTTCCCTAGAGAATCTGAGTCCTGATGCAGCAAGCTGCATGCAGCATAGTTTGGTTGGGATCTCATGTTACCTTACCTTTTGCTCCACACAGACTGCTTTATCAGTGCAATTAACCATTATAGAATGACCTTTTCCACCATCGTTATGCTTTAATAGAATTACTGTCAATAAAGCTGCCATATAGGACATTAACAATTTGCAAGAAGGCTCTGCTCTTATTGTTTTCAGGTGGACGGAAGTAAACTTTGATGTTAGATTTGGACAGAACCCGATCACTCAAAACATAGTGCTTCTCACATTAACACCACATTCCATGTCTGACAGCTGTACTTTGCAAGGTCAATAATGATTCGGCGAAACGACTGATCTGCCCGCGACCAAATGCAGAGCAAAGAATAGAGGAAGATATTGACAGACTTGGATCTGCCTTACCCTAATCTATTTTCGTTTACTATGCCAGCGTGGTTTGACCGAAAACGCACAGCAGATGTGTAGGTTTTGGTAGATATCAAAATGTTTACCAGTTGAAATAAACATGGCCTACTTTAGGCACTGGAGAGGCAGATTCCATTCTTCCAGTGAGCAGATAGGACACGCCATTCTGCCAATTGCTTAAATATACAGTTGTCAGAAAATATTAACTGATGAAACGGGCGAGGGGGAGTAGCAGTCACAGCAGAACGATTGGTCAGTTATCTGAAGCATTAATCTTCTCTGGAGCTAGTTTTAGAGCAGACATAATACAGAGGCTAGCTGACTGGCGCAGCACTGGCCGCTGCCTGGGGCTGCCTGGTGGCTGTGAGGAGTTGCTGAGAGGAATAGTTTTATCTCTCCAGCGGAAATGCTGCACCATCTCAGCCAAGATTGGACTGAGATTGCGCTCCGCTTCTCTGAAGGTTGCTGTAGTGAGGGGAGTCTCCGTGTAAGTAGCTGATATGAGTGTTTTATTCCTCAAATCGGCTTCCTTACTTGCGCTGTCAGTGAGATATGCTTTTGACTTGTGAAGACAAACTGCACCCTTAAGGAACCACAAATAAAGAAGAGTGTGTTTGGTTTCCTGATGACTGCAGATAATCTTGTCAGTGCCCAGGGCTAGACATTTACATCCCAGTAGTAGTGTTTCTTTAATGAATTGCAAGAAGAGAAGCAGCCTGCCTTGAGGTGTGTGTGTTTTATTTTTTAAACTTGTGATTAATAATGTTTTTTCATCTTTCTGTTCTAGATCCCTCTGTACTGCTGTAAATACGTACTACCTGGCATGTTCCTGCTGCCCCCTCAACTGTGCCTATGTGCTGTTTAGCAACAAGATAGCACTCCTCATGGACCTGCTGCTGCATCAGCTAACGGTAAGTCTATGCATCCTACTACCTACTATGACCGAGACCTAATTTGACATCACAAAGAAAATGTTTTATAAAGTATGCAATGATATTCAATATTAATGTAATTAGTTTGTGCCAACAGCATTATTTCCATTTGTATAAAGTACAATAAATATAAAGTAAATAAAATGCTGAAGATGTTTGTGATACAGGGTATTCAAGGCATGATGAAACTTAAGAAGTATTTGCAATGCTGCCACACAGATTTTGCCTTAAACCTTCTTTGTTTTGTTTTACATGTATCTGTTGATATTCAGTGCTTTGCCCACTAAGAAAACCCTGCATTTCTGCTGGTGTCAGTTCCTGCCACAGTGTTAATGAAAGACAGAGCAAGACACACAAGCTAGCAAGTAACAAACCGTTGCCCAGCCTCTCCACAGATGCCTCCTGACTGAGGGAATGTGAGAGCGCAGTCAGTCAGTCAGGCAGGCTGCATTGCGGCGACATGTCAGTCCATGTCCTTCAGCACTCTGGAAGAGGGACTGTAAACATCAGCCCACTCCAACATCTAACAGTGGCGGCTCGCTGGGGCCGCCTACACTCACAACACGGACAGGACAAGGCGCAGGCACAGGGTTGAGGTACATGCCTGAACTCTACTGGGGCTTCCTTCTCCAGTGCCGAGTTCCAATCCAAAGCTGTCATATTTCCTTAGGGCACACAGGGAGAGGTTAGCCTGTATGCTTCAGTTTATATAAAACATATCCCAGCAGCTGCTCTGCTGACTGACATATCCAGCAGCACTGTAGGAGACAAACTAACTGTTCTCCATGTGTTCAATGCACATTAAGAATTGGGCTACAGACCCTCCTTTAATAAGTTGTGATTTAATTTACAACTCCGACACAACACCGCTTTGTATTTGTTATTGTTGTTTGAGTGCGTATTCATATGCATGCCTATGTTCTGGTATGCGTGTGCGTGAGCTGTAGAGTAAAGCAGTGGGGGTAGCACTGCCATATGAGCATGTACCCTTTTAATTAGATTTGTGGAGAATGTCGGTGGATTTACCTATGCTGTCAGCATTCCCCCTAACCACTAGACCAAATGAGAACATTTTACCATTGCAAGGTTCTCCATGTAAAGCAGTAGCGCTATATTTTAAACGTGGACCTCTGCTTGTATTTTATATGAAGTTTGTCTGAGGAAATGCCTCAAACAGCTACTATATACCTTTATTGTAGCTGTTACAAATCACAGGAGTCTGTAATCTACAGATTTGTGGCCTAACGCTGAAGAACAATAAACTCACTAAAATGTGTATTGTACTAACAATTGGCGAAAAGCCTTTTGTTAAACAAAAACAAGGCATTTAACATGAACCTCTGCATTAACTGAATGACCATTAATGTGCATGCTGAAGGTTAAATGGACCTTGTCTTTGGTTTATTTCTGTACACTCATGATGTTTATGTGTAATGGCAATTGGATGCCGTCAGATTTCTAATGCAGCCTGTCAGCATCAGGGTTTATCAAAGAACAGTGGTTTATTAATTGCTCAATACACAGGTAGGCTACCTTCTGTTAACATTCTTTGTTTCTTCCATTCTTGCAGCTATATGTCCCAGATGAGGACAAATCCATTTTTGGGCGCAGTGTGAACAAACAAGTCTTTGAGGGTTTGACAACAGGCCTGCTGCAGACCATTGCTACCATCCTGGGGTCCCTGTGGCCATATCTCTCTGAGCCCGGACATGGTGAAAAAACATGGATTTCCTCCCCAGATGCCAAGATCAAGAACTCTGCCACAGAGTCCTTTAACATTCGCACACAAGACTTAATCAGGTATTATCCTTCCAATGCTCTGTACTGCTCTCACACTGCTTCTCCTCCACCTACATGGCACCTCTCTTTCTCATGTCACAACCATTTTACCTCCTTTAGTACATCCCTCCTCCACTCCTCTTCACTGGTGTGAGAGTTGGTCAACCTCTGATTTCCTCAACTGCGTGCCTTGTGTAAAGAATAGGCTGACAAAATGTCAGATCTCTTGGAAATTGTCCAACTGGTGTCTTGTTAGAATGGGAGTAGTGTGAGAATGGGCCTGGGTTTATTCTGGCATCCTTCCAGCTTGTACTTTTTCCACACATTCAGTGCCACATTTCAAGTAAAATCCGTTTCTGGGGGGGCAGAAGTAGTAGCATAAACAAAGAGCACTTCCAAAGCTTTGAAAGGTCTCCTTGAACCTGGCGTTGGAGCTAGCCATGTGGGTCTGGGCTGTAGGAGTCGGGGTTGTGTTGGAGAAATGTGTGCTGTGAGGAAAGGCAGGCCCGGCACGATGAAGCCTTGTGGAAGAGTGCAGTCTTTCCACCGTCCCTCCCACAAGCCATGATTCATCTGATCGGAGCAGCTGCACAGGCCCACCCCTCTCATCCACTGACCCAGTCGTAACCCTGGAGACAGAGGAGGGCCTGAGAAAAATGGTGTCGTCAGACTGGTAATCCCAAGTATGAGCGCAAGATTTACCTCAGCTGCCTTGTATAATGTATATTCTAGTGAGGAAGGACAAAAGATCAAAACATTTGTAGCTTTTGCAAAACTATTCCATTATGCCAGCTATATATCACACAGAGAGGAGATCACCATTTCCTCTCCTCTCATTACCAGTTTCTTCATTTTGGCTTTCAATGCTTTTAGTTCCCTATCATTCTCAAAAATGTTTTCAATTCATTCTCAAATGATGAGACACCAAGTGGCAAGTTCGACCACCGAGCAGGCTGTCAAACAGAGAGTAGGCGTTGAACAAAGCACTCCGTGTGAGGAAAGATCCTTTCAACCCAAGTTAAAGCTGTGGAAGAGGATCAAGTCAAAACAATGGGATTTGGTTCAAGTGTCAGATGACCTGCAGTGGAGGTGGAAAATGGTCATAATCACCTGTTTTGAAAGGACCTCAATGAGTGACAGATCTAACAAAAAAGGTATGTGAAAGAAGCGAAGAGTCAAGACATGTGATAAGGTGAGGAGCCGTGGCTTCACAGTGACCACGTCGGCTACTAGAAAGCCTTAATTGGCGGCTGTAGTGCTCTATAGATTTCCATAAGCTGTTTGTGCCTGAGCTGAGCCCGAAGGTCCAGGCATACCGGAGCTATGAGAAGACAGCCCCAGGTCAGCAGACTATCAAGGGCCGAGAGCTGGGCTGGCACGGGGGCCACAACAACACTCTAATGACACTATTAGGAGTGATTTGTGGCTGAAAGAGTACAAGGAACATGATCATGAGACCTGTCATTGGCAAAGACAAATTGGAGATATCACAGTAATAGCAGGGGGTGGAGGGCTTAGGTGAGATATCCGCTTTCAGCTGCAGTGCTGTGGAAGTATGCACAGTACAGGCCTTTGTTTGCCTGCGTGGGATAAGCTTTTTACATAGCAAGTCTCCCATAGTACATTTGTTTTAACATTGAGGAAATGTTATTAACCACTGCATATTTTTGTCTTTTGTATTTCTTTCAGCTATGTAGTAAACATGGGTTTGATTGACAAGCTGTACGGGTGCTTCTTGTCAGTTCAAAGTCCTGTAGATGAGCACCCCAAGATGTCTGCTTTCCTCCAGCAAGCCTCAGCTCTGCTGCACAGCATGTGTAAGCTGTGTTTTGTCGTAACTGGACGGTGAGCATGTCTCTTACTTTATTACACACCTAAAACATCTCTTGTGATCTTATGGTCTTCCTCTGAGAGAGAGAGAGAGAGACACACACACACACACACACACACACACACACACACACACACACACACACACTTCTCTGTGGCTGACAGAGATGTGAGTCACTGTCAGTTCTTTAATGTCACAAGTATCCATAAAGCCAGGGCTCATGGTTACTCAAACAAAGACTATGGTTTGTCTGCAATCAGCCAGCAGGTCGTTTCCTCCAACCAGCTAGCTGGCTAAGCTGTCATTACTGCAGATAGAGATAGGCATCTACTTGACCCAGCGCTCTGTCACTCACCATAAACCTTATCCTGCAGCGTGGGGGGAGCCCACCCACGTGTGCTACAGTGACCTCCACTCGGAGAGGTTCAGTGGCGCCGCTGACAGAGGCTAAGCACACAGTCACACCAAGGTTCATCAGTACCAAAGTTCCTCACTTAAAAGGAAAAGAAATGCTGACTGTGGTAGCAGACCAGTTATGCTTTGATGCATTTATACATTTTAATTGTGTACTGAATCTAGGTACCATTCTTGGCACATCTTGGCAGTACATTAATCCAAGATCTTGTCATTGCGCTTTGGTCTTTCTTTTGTCGTTCACTGTGCTGCTGTACCTTGCCAGCTGCACGGTGCTGAAGTAACAGTGACCAGCTGTTTCACACCAGCATGGTAGGAGACCAACACAGCACAACTTGTCCTGACAGCTACGCTGGGTTTGTTACAGAATCTCTGTGGAAAAAAAACATAGTGTCAGACTTTGCAGGTTTTATGAGACTAGTCTTATGATCAACACAGCAGCCAGCAAGCGCTGTTCACCGTGTGTCATATATAAGAATGCTCAGTGGTCTTGTAGAATATTTTGGCCATGCCAGTTGCTGTGTCAGGGGATTATAATGGCATTAGGAGGCTGTGTTCTTGCCTAGCAGCATATTTCACGCAGAGCCTGTTGGCTAACATCAAGTATCAGCATGCACTGTAGGTTCCATCCAGAGGTCACACACCCTCCATTCTACATGGTGGCAAATCATAGGTGCTGCTGCGGTAGTCTTAAATTGTCTGTCTGTACTAGCCGTGGCTTTTCACTGGAGTCCTCTGCACTGCGACTGAAAAGAATTAATACCATTATTGGATTAATTAGTTAAAAAAAAAATTCACGGTGTCTTTTGCCAATTAATGCAGTAATGCTGAATGTGTGGTCCAGATGGCCCTGCAGGCACTGATATGATAAAATCACTGATTAATTATTATTTCATGTTGTCTTACAAAATTTGTAATTGTCCATTGTCAATGATTGGATACTCCATCTGTATGTGTGCACTTTGAAGCGCCTCGCATGATAAATTTACTTGAAACCATGAAAATGGTGACAGCTCCTGCACTGATGCGAAACGGGTTTGTTAGATTTTTGACTTACTAATGCAGCATTTTCTCCATACTGTCATGCTTGTATTCAAATAAACTTGGTACCTCCTCTTTCCAACAAGCATTATCCCTGGCTTTGTTGTTAAATGTGATGTTCAATGAAAGGCTGAAGTTGCCAGTGACTTTAACCAACAGGATAGCATGTTGTTGGAGCCAAACAAATGTATCACCTTGAATCCTCTCACGCGGGCCTTTTATTAAGTGTGCCAGAGCACTCAGCACCTTGTCAGGCAGGTCAATACAATCCGCCAGCTCAAAGTCACTGCCGTGAGCTTCACGTCGTGGCATTATTTTGTTTACTGTAGCTGGAGTGGTAGCAGAAGAGCCGATCTTGAATCTTGAAGGTCCCGCTCTTTAGCTGCAACAAAACTGTCTGGCAGTGAGTTTTACTAGTCAAATCAAAATAGATTGGAAGCTTCTTGCATGCAAAGATGTTACTGTCACTGTTATTCGGTAAATGAACAGAAGCGCATTAAAAACAGAAGATGAACTTGAGAGCAGCTGTGATCCAACATGTCAGTATGGTACACATTTTATTCTCTGTGCTCGTTCATTCTCGGCAGTCAGTTAAGTCAGGTAATACAGCAGCAATAACAGGGTAGTATCTCTTATCTGAAAGAGAAAGTCATCTCAAGGCCCTTGTCTGGAGAGTAAATCTAGAAGCCGCCGAGGTCTAGACTGTTATTTGGGTCCTCAGTCATGAGATGATGCTGTGAGAGAACAGTCTGAAATTCAATTTGGTTTGTTTTGCATGGCACCAGCAGCTCAAAGGCACAAATTAAAGACCCCAGTGCTACGCGGTGTTAGTGTCACATCTCTGTATTTGTTAATGAACGCTTACATTTAGTTTTGGTTTTGCTGACCACACACACTTCCCCTCTCTTCCTCTCCAGTGCTCCGAGTATATTTGACAATAAACGTCAGGACCCGACTGGATTGACGGCCCTACTGCAGTCCACAGACCTGGTGGGAGTGGTGCACACTCTGTATTGTATCCTGCTGCACAGTTTCTCTCCCGAGTCTGCTTTCCAGAGTCAGGAACCCTACAGCCCCGGGGTCATCCAGGTGGCTTTGCAAGGCATCCGCTTCCTCAACAGTTTTGCCCTGCTTGACCTATCTGCCTTCCAGGTATATTCATAATAAATCCAAAATATATTCTGTTTTCACTTTTGACAAATTAAAGATTCCTTAAAGATCTAGCTGATTTTGCTCCTGTTGACAGAAGGTTAGACATAGATTTTGAGCACGTTTTCTATATTGTAGATAGATTATAATACCAGATATATATTTTATAGAATGAAATTCACAGTACATGGTTTGTAGGAGGAATAGCTGGTTACTTTGACATTAACTAACTGCATTTGAATAAACAGTAAGAGCAATTTAAATGACTTGTCCCTTACTGCAAACGGCAGGCTATCATAAAAATGCCTTCATATATTTAAATTATCGTCCCAGGGTTTAATAAATCTGTATACATGATCAGATTGATGCTAGTCCCTTTTGTTAAGCGCCATTAGAACTCTCCCCAGGACAAAGCTGACCTATGGACATAAACACCGGTGCTCTTTGACCCCAGGTCAGATGTTGGGGTTGAGTAGAAACTGGTGGGTCAGCAGTTAGGATGGAGCGCGACTGATTAGCACTGTATGCAGGGCCGTACATTACCCACCCAGAGTAGGAGAGGACGACAGAAAAACACTGGAGCAAGTGAGAATGCTGTTAATTATTTTAATGTCTTGTGGGTAATTACTTTGAAGCAGCTTCCTCTCACTGACCTGCCACATTCAGGCAACTCAAAACAGCTGGAAATGAAAGCATTTCACTGCCGGAGTTTTATGAACATTTTAAATAATGTCTTTTGGGGGGTTGTAATCACCTTGTGTTTCCCATTACCTCACAGCACCAGCTAATATGTGTTGTGGTGGATGGATGAGCAGAATTCAGGCCGTTAACTCGCTCTGCTGCAGCATCAGCTCCCAATAATATGTTTAGAGGGGAATTACAAAAGGGTTCAATGCAGTGTGTATATATAAATGGGTTTGTCAGTGGTTGCAGATTTTTTAAAATCTTAATATATTTATGATTTGGTAAATGACATTCTGCTTTTGTTCTGTTTGACAGCTACTTACATGATTCAGTGAGTTGAATATTTTTCCTGCATGCATAAGTTAAAAGGCCTAGAAACAGCAGGTATTGCGTTTATGGATATTACAATGCTAACGCACCCAAATTTTCAGTGGAGTAGTGATGATCTTATGGTGCTCTGTCACACTGACATGTTTAATAAATACTGTCTGAGCTGCTCCTAGCATCTCATTTCTGAACGAGATTTGGGTCTTTTATGGTGGGACCATGTTTCAATTACTTATACTCTTACACATGTATGTTCCCACCAGAAAAACATATAGTCTTTTATTACTTTGCATTGTTATTGTATTGAGCTCTTTGTAGTCACAATCATAGACAATTTATGCTAAATTTACTATAAAACATACTGATGTGCTTTGCCTGTGACCTGCCAGTGTGTTCTAGGAGCCGAGGGCCTCTCTCTAGCTTTCCGACACATCGTCAGCTCCCTCCTCTGGTACTGTACCCAGCATTCCTCTGATGAGCTGCTGCACGAAGTCATCATCTGTGTGGGATACTTTACCGTTAACCACCCTGACAACCAGGTAAACCAGCTTGAACCTGAACTGACTGCACAGAAGTTAATTCAATTTCTTTTTCACTTTAACAGAACCAAACTACTTAAAGTATTGAGATTTGGTTATAATGTTATAGTTAAAGCTGCAACTTTTAATTGTTTTTCTTATTAATCAGTCTACCAATTTTATTGATTGTTTAATTCATCAGTATGTAAAAGAAAAGAGTTATGACAAATTCCCATCTTAATTACTGAAAGTGGCATTTTTATTTGCCAGGCCAACAGCAAAAAAAAGAAAACTTTATATAAATTTAAATTGTCCTCAAATTATCTAAGCAAAAGAAATTACAACAAATATTACAGCATTAGACCAACTAAGAAATTTTTGGAAACAGAAAAAGTCAGTGAAAAATGTAAATTTTAATTCCCCATAACTCAAGCTGTTGTCTGATAATTTCTTGTTTTATACCGCCAACAGTCTAAAACCAAAACATATTCAGTTTACTATCATGTATGGGAAAGACGAGCATCATCAAATCAAAGTATTTCTGATTCTGAAATCCTTATTATCTGAGAAGTTGGACTCACAGAATATTTGGTCTTTTTACTTGAAAAAATTATTACAACAAGTCACTGATTATCAAAATAGTTGCCTATTAAATTTATTTTTTTCTACCAAATCAATAAATCTACTTATTGTTTCAGTTCTACCTAAAACAATTACAATTTGCTAAAATTGTAATGCATACATTTGCTGTCAATCTGCTAATCATTAAATTGTTTCAGTAGAGCTTTCCACTGAGTTAGACAAGCCTGTTAATATCATCTTACTATTGTTCTGTTCATGTATTATTTGTCAGAAAAAAGGGTGTAGTTTTGTAATTGTAACAAAAAGCACCTGTTTAAAGATTCATGCCTTGGCACCTTCCTGCTTTTGGTCTGCGTGTCGTCTATTGTCCCACAGAGTGACCTATTGTTCCCTCCTGGTAAAGCAGAGCAGCATGCTGGCCTCAGTGTTACAACTACTTAGGGGGCTCCGTGGAAGTGAGCAGGATGTGGTGGAGCAGACCTGGCTGCTGTGTAATTGGCTCTCATGCGTGGCCCGTCTACCAGGTCCCTGATTAGCCATGCTACAGTTGGCTGGGCTTTGATTATGTTGAGCCTCACCCACACAGGCAGCAGCCACGGCTTCAGTCTCAAACGTCTGATATGTCACTTACATCCGCACAGTCACAGTCAACCCCCATTCACAACAATTTATAGGCTGATTGCTGATTCTAATTGACCAGATTTTGTACTTCTAATTAAAGGATCTTCCTCCAGTCTGTGGCACTTTCCTTTCCTCTCAGCGCCCATCCAATTTAATTATTCTGATGTATAGAATTAGCATTTGTTGGTCATTGTAGATCCAATTTGCATATTAAATTAAATAATTGAATGAGAACTGATGATTAAATTAAGTGGGTGACAGACGATTCGTCTTTGTTCACCCGTGTCGTTAACAGAGCAGCCACACTTGACTGTAATTGGTTAAAAAAAATGTTGTCATTCCGCCATAACTTGGACTCTGCCAATAAGAATGTTTTGTGAAAAAGAAACACAAAAAAGAATATTATATTCAAGTAAAGATTGTCGGGGAAACAAGATCCCACACAACCTCTCCACACAGAGTTGATCTTTGCCAGTGGTCCAGTTCCTGGAATGCGTCCATTTAGTTCCGCACCAAGATGGATGGCGTTAAGGAGAATATTTAGAGCAGCTTGAGCTTTTCTCTAGCTAATGTAAGCATTGGCAGAGCACAAAAGCGGCCCGACCAGAGGCCTGTGCGGTCGTGTAGACTGCTGATTCACTGTCGGCGCACACCAGCTTTTGTTTATATATATATGTATATATGCTCTAGAAATAAGGCTGCTCATAAAAAGCAGAACTTTGAAGGAGCACTATATGTTGTGATGCGTTCCCTCTGCTCTGGAGGGCATGAATAATTCACCTTGTCACACAAAAAGCCATTGGGAGAGTGACATATGTAGGCTTGTGTGTTTTTCAAGTGTGTCCCTGCTCGTGGGGGCCACTGAACCATGTAGCCATATGTTTCATTGTCTGTTGGGTGTGTCCGTAGAGACCTTTTTGACATAAGGAAAAAGCAGAAGAAATGACACCCATTTCGTAACTGACATGTAACGTTACTTCCTTTTTCCCTGATGAGAAATGTGCCGGTAATCTCCTTGCCTTCAAATCCAGTGATTCATTTGTGAATCATCCACGGTGATGATCTGTTGAATGTGTGAGCTGACTGTAATTGTAAACTGTTGACATGTTAACCCACCTGATTCCCGCTTGCTTTTTAGAAAGACACAAGCAATTTGAGAGTGTGGAAATCTTAAGAAAACTTTGCTTTTTTTTGTGTCAGTACAGGGAAAATGGCCACACACACACACGCAAAAGCAGAATGAGCTACACACGCAAACACACAAATGCTGTTGGCCCCATAATACACACAGAAGCAGGTCCGATTTCAAGTAGCGTATGTAATGGGATCGTTTTCCCTGCACTGGCTCCTGAGATTACCTGACTCCCCTGTGCTTATATATTGTAAACTGTTTTCTTTATAACGGTAAGCATCACATGAGCTATGGATCGTCTCTACACTGAACATCCCACACACATCTCCAGAGCTCAGCCTTATCTGTGGGGTCATTCCTCTTCTTCCCATTTTCTACGAGGGCGTTTCCTCTGCCCTGCAGGCTCAAGACAAGCTTTAGGCCTGTAATTCCTGTTAACCTGATGTTGAAACGCTCCCTTCAGCAGTCCATTACTGCCAAGACAACCAAGCCCTCACTGCCTGCAGGGTAAGTGCAGCTCATGCAGACCATAGGGAGCCAGCGCCGGGGAATGCACACTCTGTATCACCCAGCAGAGTAAACAGAGGCATAGAAACGCAGACATACACACTCTCCACTGACTGGCAGGAGAGGGCCTTATTGTTAGCTCGGTAGATGATTTACGCTCTGCTTCAAGGGTGAATGCAGGTCCACCTAACTTGTAGTGAAGTTGAGGACATTTTTATCCCTACAAACCCTTCAGTGAGGAGTTTCCATTTGTCTGCAACACTGTCGTCAGTTACTTTCAGAGCAGAATTATCAGCAGTAGGATCTGGAATGGAATGACAGCGTCAGCTCATAGAGATAAATAAAGAGTTATTAAGCTTTATTATGTAAACAACAGTTTTTTATGGGATTTTAAAATAGCAGACAATCGCCTTAAAAGTCAAGTTGGACTGTCTATGTCAATGTCTGCATAGCTAGCAGGTAATCATCCAAAGGCAACACAGCGTCCTGTGTATGTCTCTAAGCCATTGTAGATGTTGTAAAGAAGCACTAAACTGTTATTTGACTAACTTTTCTTTGTGGTGTTTGTTGTGCTGCTTATCTTATCAGTAAGGCTGTTCCACTCTGATGGATCTGGTTTATATTGTGGATTCAAGTGTCAGATAAATGGCCCAGCTCTGACTCTGGTTCCTCATGAGGTGTTTGAGCTGTCTAGACGCTGCGATGAATGAACACACGCAAGATTGTCACTTTTCTTCTTTGTGACAATAAACATGTATAATTAAATTTGTGCAGTAAGAAATTAATAAAATGTCTTTGCCTCATCCAGCAGCTGTGCAGCCTCATGCATGCAGGCTAATTAGGCTATTTGAGATTTATGCTTATTTGCATGGCTGGATCATGACTGTCCCTTCGTTTTTCTCTCCGTTCTGAAATCTGCTTTAACTTTGGTTTCCGCTTCAACACTGGGTTTTCCCTGGAATTTGTTTGCGTTTCAGAACATTAACTTTACACACTCTTTGTTGTCATTGTGGACAGTGAGGAAGTTATGTAATGGAAGTGTCATAAAACTCGGCACTGTTTGAAAATGCCAGGTCTGTGAAGTTAAGAAAGAACAGAGCAGCCAAGACACTTGAGTTTTTACAGAGTCTGCGTTATACGTGGGCCAGATGCATGGGTTCAGATGCTTGTTGTTAGTTTTATGATGTCAGGCTTTGAGCTGCAGATACTTCAGCTGAGCTGGGAGAAGTAACCCTACAGCATAATCTGTAGTTGGAAACCATTTCGAGCTCTGGTGTTGCTCTTCACCTGGTGGAGGTGTGGAAAGTTGGCAAGGCACTCGGTTTCTTTGTTACCTGCAGACTCTTGCTGCCACCAGGCTTTGTTTTATGTCTTTCTGCGTCAGGCACTTGAGGGTGGACAATTTGTTTAGGCAGCTGAAGATGGAGCTGTGCGTTGTGGAGGATTATGAGATCGCTAGGTGATTTGTGGGTTGGATCTTCTCAGAGCCCCAGCTCAAACATCCAACACTTGCTACGGCGTTAAATTATGATACCATAACCATAAATGTTCTGGATTAAAACGCAAGAACAAATACATTCTTTAGCTTTAGCAGAATCACAGTTTTGGCTTTTCTAATGAATTCTGCTGTATAAATGTATGACACCAACCCCCCACCCCCCCCATTGCCAGTTTGTCTTTGGGCAGTGTTGCAACAGACAAGATAAATACGATGATGTATGATTTAGTGGAAGGTAGCAGGAAAATGCTAAAACTACTTGCACTGAAAATAAGCAGCTCTACTTTTGAAAACAACCAGAGCTTGACGTTTTGTTTTTTTTTCCTTCCTTCAGTGGATGAATTTGTCCGAGTCCCACATTCCTTTGTGAAAAACACTTATTGAGTCAGTGCAACTGTGGGATTTTATTCCTCTGCTGTTGCACATACATATTCATAGTTAACCGTCTTCTTCTTTGTAATGTAATCAAGACCATTCTTTAATTTTATACTACACTTGGCAAAACACACCAGAGCAGAAATAATGTGTTCTTTTAGCTGTAAAAATTAACAATTACATTTCAGGGTGACAAATTCAGTACTCTTCACATTTTTAAGTATTTGTAATACATTACAGTTCAGATTGTTTGACCTGTCCATATGGAGTCTTGAAACAAATGATGATAGGAAATGGCACTGTTTTGTGTCCCTTTGAACGCTGCTGTAGACAGCAGCTCTGAGAAGCTTCACCTTGAGCTGATAAAAGCAGTGAATTATCACTTTGTTTATCCTGTTGCTCAGACTTGGAGTGCATTATCAAAGGAGAAGCCAATGGAAGAGTATTAGAGAGTGTATTTTTTTCAAATCTTGTGAATTTATGTCCACATGACTTGGGGACCTCACCTTGCCCTCCTGGTTTCCATTGACATTGAGCCCCCGGTCCTGTAATCTGTACCTGTAAAGCGGTGCAGCGTTTTGGGGGGTTTTTCAGCAAGATTAAGCATGCTGACCTCCTGGCTCTCAGAGGGGTGCTGATGGTCTTCCCAGGCTCAGGGGAGATGACCAGAGCATTAGGCCAGGACCCCTTCCTTTGCAGCGCTCCCCCTTCTAATCAAATGAGGCTGGGAGTGATTTGGTTGTAATACTGGTGGCCCGGATGTGATGGTGTGTGATTGATGGGCTGTGATGGAGAGCAGGATGTCGGCAGGGTGAAAATACCATTAATGTTATTGCTCATTTCTTAAAGTGGGGGTGGCCACACTGTCGGTGGAGGTTCGCTCACCCTGCCCGTCATCCTACCCCTTCATTCCCCTGTTGCACTATGAATGCCCTCTCAACCTGAGCTTCACTCCTACAGGGCGGTAACAAACTTTTGCGCAGCTTCTGTGCTGCTTACAGAGCTTAACACAGAACTTGAAAGTAAAGTTTTATAATGACTTCATTTCACATTTCTCTTTTCCTCTTGTGTTACAGCCTCTGCTATTACCGTTAGTACAAAGGGAAGAACAAAACATCCCATCATTGTGTTTTATAGCCCATAATTGCGTATTGGGAGGCTGTGCCCCCTCAGGTCTCCTCCTAATGGCTGTTTGTGTGTTGTTTTAGTGGCAGATTTACATGTGGGAGGGGCACAGGGCGGTTATTTACAACCAGCACTGCCACTGACTGGCCGCCTGACTGGCTTAGTGACTGACTGGCCCTGCTCCCTGTGTGTTCCAGGTGATAGTGCAATCTGGCCGCCAGCCCAGCGTGCTGCAGAAACTGTGTCAGCTGCCCTTCCAGTACTTCAGCCACCCGCGCCTCATCAGAGTGCTCTTCCCCTCCCTCATCTCAGCCTGCTACAACAACTCCCAAAACAAGGTCATCCTGCAGCAGGAGATGAGCTGTGTGCTGCTGGCTACATTTGTTCAGGTAAATCTTAGAACAACAGTACAATTAAAAAATATCCAAGCCCCCCCCCCCCCCAAAAAAAAATGTTTGGGAGTGTTGCATCAAGGAAATCAAGTGATTTAAAAAAAACTGTAATGTGGAAAACGTATTCAAAAACTGTGGGAGAAATAAATATTTAAAAAACCATACAAAAACATGCTTAGAGTTTCTTGCCCCTACATAAAATATCCAAAAACAATATGTTTCTTTCACTTCAGAAGGAAACCTCTTTGCATCGGCTGATTAACAATTGCTCTTCTGGGCCCCACTGAACCTGTAACAGGCAAGCTTTTACAAAGATAAATGGCTTCCTTCACAGTGGATTTACCTGCCACTGGTTCGACTCCCAGTAAACAGCTTGTCTCCTTCATCTTCTTCTGACAACTCACCCCTCACCATTCTGCAACCACCACTGTTTATACGCCGATTAACTTCCATTCAAAGGGAGACAAGCCATTGTCATTTCTTTCAAACAAAGCAATAATGCATGGTGTTTTGCCTCGCTGCCCTCATTGTTGAGTTAACCTCGAGAGCATTCCTCGGAGTGAAACAGTTTAATCCAGGATGGTCCCTTATCACCTGTTAGACTAAAAACATTTAGTTTGATTTGTAAATTATAACAAGGTGTAGCAGCTTTAAATTTTTGTTAAATTATGTTTGTTTGTTTTGGCTGGAAGGTTTAATTAATCTTGGATGAGACAAATTAAAATGGACATACACAACGCTACTAGTACCTGCAGCGTACTGTTTAGTAGGCACTAATGCTCTATTTAACTTCTCTAGGACTGCGCTGCAAATGAGAAGGATTCAGACAACAAAACAAAGCAAGCAGGTAAGTTATTCTGATAAATACACAAACGAACAAGATTGATTGTATTGTAATTCATATTTTTTTAGTCCTACAGAGATATTTTAATCATTTAAAATTGTTGCCTCATATACAAAGAGCTATTTTTGACATGATTGTTCTCCAATAGATTCCAATAATATTTTGAATTTCCTTTTATTGAGATTTCTGTTGGGCACCCAGTATAATGCAGTTGTTCTTCTCTTTCAAAGTGTGTAAAGTTTCCCAGCCGCTGGATTACTGTGAGTTGTCAAACCGCTTTCCAAGGGATCAGTGGGACTCGGCGTTGCAGTTTTTTCTCAAGAAGCAGGAAGAGTGACGGAGTCACACACTGTCCTCAGAATGCATAATGCCAAGTGTAAACACTACAAAAGAGACTGAGATGTGGAGTTGTTTTGGGATTTTTTGTTCTTGTTTAGTTTTGTTTTTCCTTGACTTAAAGTCTGCACACGAGTAATTATGTTCTTTCAGACTTTGTCAAATGTAAAGATTGTGAAGCCTTATCCTGTGTCAATGCATCTGCTTTGTTTTTTTGGAAAACATATTGAGGAATTTGCACAAAATGTCTTGTTTGTACATTGCAGTTATAACACACGCACAACTATTCCACTTAATGTCTAAACAAGCCATTTGTTTCTCTTTTTGTTTCTATTGTGGATAGAAATTAACATTTCAAAGCAGTAAACCTGACACATGTACTTATACTGTAATTTATGATTTGCCAAGCATTGTCATCAATACTGTTGTTGTATTAATTTATTATATTTGTCTCATTTTCGAATATGAATGACCTGAATGTTATCTCTAGTCTACATTAATGCCAGTTACAGTTACATGACCTGCCTTGATTGCAAATATGTGTTAGAGTTTTATTTTTCAAGTTCACGTCTTTTTCTTTCTCTTTTTGTTAGGAGGCACTCACAAATTAATATAATTTATTGGGTTATTTACCTTTATCATATGAAATAAAATACTTATGGTTATGTTATGTATTTTTGTTCAGTTTTATTCTGTGTGAACTGTGCAGTTAAATTAATGACATGAGTATAAGTATGACTTAACAAACATAAACACTTTGTGGTGAGTCTTGTATTTCTGTCAGTTTGACCCTTATAAACTTGGATAATGAAGATGTCCTAATTTGGTCTATGATTTGATGGTCAGAAAACAAATTTTATTATTGAATCTCCAAGACACATGAATATGAATATAAGAACTGGCTTGAAATGTGCATTTACACCCACATTAAAGTCCTCACAAACTGACACCCTCAGGAAAAATGGGGGTTTTAGATGTAAACAAAAATGATTTTAAAGAACTTTTGAATGTCCTTTTGTGTACTAATAATAGTGTGTTATTGAAAATCTTCCATCACTACAGCATTAATGCTGCCCCTAATTCTGCATGTATGACCATCAACCTGCATGTTAAGGCATAATTTAAAAACAGGCTAAAGACCAAAAGAACTCAAATGTACAGCATTATCCAGTGAAAATGCTGGAGCATTCAGCCAGTGTATCAAATTTTGGCTTGAAAGTAGTGCTTGTGTTGAAAACGTGGGAACTATTTAATATTTAAAGTCCTCTGTGCCAGGTGTGATGAAAATTCACTAAAATATCACTAGGCTATTCAAATTTGGACTGAGTGAGTAGCCTAGTTATTTTAAAATGAATAGTGACAGTATAATTTGAGGAGTTTGGTGCTTATCATTAGATAGCCCTCTCTAGTATCTTTGTAGTAATTTATTTTTTTTTTTAAATAAATTGTTGCTGCCATTGCTACTCTTGCACACAGTTTAAAGATTTAGTATATCAGCATGTCTTAAAGACTTAACAGGATTTTGAATGTCGATGAGACTCCCGTTTCCATCACTGATAAAAGCCGATCCTCCCAGACAAATTGTTAAGGTGTAGTGTGTCAGGGCCGGCTTGACCTGCATGCTCTCTTGTCCAGCGGCTATTTGCCGTTCAGGATTCCTACTGGAATGAAAATAAACCAAAGACACGCCAGGATGCGTCCGCAGGCTGCGAGGCTCCTCAGCGCAGCGCGTTTGTTGTGGGCCCATTCAGTGTATCCTTAGCAGGTGATGCCAGATGCAGATAAGAGGCGGCCGCTGCCTGTCCTGTGTCTAGACTTGTACCATGGGCCTCAGGTTGGTATTACACTATGACATTTGTCTGAATAAGACCAATTTGATCGTTTTCGTCACTATGCCTCAATCAAAACAGCATGCATAATTTGCTATAGATATGCCCAGGCTATTTGGAGGCCTTAAAAATAGAAATCACCGGAGGGGGCGAATTAAACCGGCTTCAGTCCATTGTTTTTGATTCAGTGACCTATGACACATGGGCCAAATAGCTAATAATGCCGTGTCGACCACCAGTCACTGATCCATTTGGCCCAGAAACTGAGCAGGCCTAAATATAAGCAGGGTTTCTAGGCTACCTCAGGGTTTTGTGAACTGAAGCATGCAGCCCACTGACAGAAGGGCAACTTGTAACACCTAAATATTCCGTTTCTGATTGCCCAAACGTGTAGGCTATATTTATTTGTATGAGTCCATACTGAATTAGACCTTGTAACAGGTTGAATTGTAGTGTAAACAGGGGAGATCCTCCAGCTCCACTTTAAATAGTGTCAAGCATCATAAGCAGCAGATTCCATTGACCTTAAAGGTGATTTATTGTGCCGACCATAATTTAAAAACTTCTGAAAGTTTACTGAACAAATAGATTTTGCATGCAATAATCATGTTAGAACTATGGTTGTATTGATAAGGTCAGCTATGTCTGTCCTCGTAATAAATAACAATAACTTATTTTCTGGAGAAAACGCAGACAATGCGCCTCACTTATTTCATTCATTACTACAAGAGTCGATACTGAAACTTAGAAATCATGCACATCTACACAGTTTGTATTCTGAGTTTCCGATAAACATTGGACACTGTTTGCATTAACTTCCAGTGCAGGCTCACGTGTTTGAATCCCATAACATATTCAGCACTTTGTGGCCAGTTCAGGCATTGGCATCGTGGTAGAAGGCCCATAATGTCCATCAACAGCGGTGTGTCCTGCCGAGGTGTCCTTGAGCAAAAAAGACAGTGAGCTAAAATGCTTAAATGTAAAGGGAATAGTCAGATCTCCAATCCTCCAGTCGGCACCTGAATGTATCCTCGAGCATATAATCCATTCAGGTCCTTTGTTCGTTTTTCTTGATTGAATGTCACTGAGGTCTCTGCGCGTCCCTGCAGAGGACGCGGGTGCGCGCTCGGGGGGTGGGTGTGGGGTGGGCCGCAGCTGACCTCGAGGCCTCCTCACGTGTCCACGGGACTCGGCACCATACTGTTCGGTGTGTCCGGTAACTGCGACGACAGAGAGGTCACATCACTGCCCGAGGAGTTGCCCAGAGAGCCCGATTCGGAGAAAGACACCTACCGGAGGAAACGGAGGAAGTCAGATTTTTTTTTAAGTAGCCTATGTTTTTAACAGCTTGTCTATCTTTGCTGGTGCCAAACTTCTCACGACCCCCCAGTTACAGAGATGTCAACATGTGAATGTGCTTTTAACCAAGGCCCCGGCTGTAATTTCAAGAGTGTGGGAGCTCCATATCCTAGGCTGGGCTATATGACATAGGCCTATGTTGTATTAGGCCATTCAAAAAATTATGGAAAGACATCACTGTATCAGTAGTGTAAATCTCAGGAGACCCCATCAACATATCGGGTGATTTACGTAAGGGGTGACCAAGTTGAGAAACTGTTTGGAACAAGAAAACAGCTTGTTTGCAATTGAATCCTTGAAAAAACTATAACTTTGTTATCACTAGATGGAATAATTGTTTCTATAGGCTTACGTGTTGTTTTTTAACAAAGTGTAGCTCATCATCACCATCAGCTTAATCTGTAGCATAGGGCCTATCTTATTCTTTATTTTGAGTGAGACTCATGAAATCCGTTTTTCCCTTTTCTTTCTCTCTCACTCTGGGAATGTAGGCTAAGCCTTTGTATTATGTTTAATAGCTTTTTAATATGATATATTTACTGTAATCCTACCAGTTGTTGGAAGGCGGGCTGGTCCAGGTCGCTCTGCAGGGCGAAGTCGCTGAGAGTTTTCCACGGTGGCTGGTAGGTTTGCACCTCCACAGTATTCCCTTGCACGGTGTTGTCGTGCCGTATAGGACTGCCTGCCACCAGAGGTGTGCCTGTCAGGCCCTGCAGATTCTGCAGGAGGAACAAAACAAGCAACACTCAGTTCGCCCAAATTTTGGCCAGTAATGTAGTCTGGAAAGGGTAAAGTCATTTCAGGATTAAAGGATATTCTGCTGTTCATGACTCCATACAAGGGGGGTGATGCAGGTAGATCAAGACATTTTGTTGTCATTATGAGGGAACCAACATACTAATAAAAAAAAGCAGGAAATATTTAACTTTATGATCATTACCTAAATACGACTCCATGAAAGATGCACAATAAGCTCATATCAGCCCAAATCTTATTCTGCAATAGTTTGGGCTTAATTTGGTTTGCTCTGCCAAAAATTCTTGTTTTTCTTTCAATTCAGAAATAATTAAATTCAATAATTAAATTTACAATTATTATCTGATTTCTGAAAACATAAAATGCAGCCTAGGATATATACAAAATTCAACCGCTGATAAAATGAAAATGGGAATAGGAGAAAGATCTCAACACAAGAAGCAGTGCTCATTGGTGTCATTTTTCTTTGTATTCCGTCTAAATTCATGGTTATCAGCCCTTTTAAAATTTAAAATAAATCTGATTTGATTTCATGTTTTGTTTCTCGGCCTGCCATGGTTTTTCTCTAGTGCTATAGGCTACTGCCATTTAATTATATCTTTCTTTATCATATCGGCCAAAGGTGTGGCAATAACATTGCACATGCTGCCTGATCATTCACAGGCTGTTGTTGAGTTTTGCATTATTTTTTTTAACCAGAGGAGGAATTAATCGCACGCTGTGCGGGGGAAGAGTGACAGCGACTGTACACACGAGTAAAATAAGACTAAAAAGCAGGTGTTGCTCAACATGGGTTAGATTTGAAATGAGAAAGGCGTAGCCTGTAATAATGTTTTTTTTTTTTTTTTGTTATACCATGCCTACAAAAACCTAATTAACTCACCGTTTTGTCGCTGTGTTGCTGTTGTTGAATCTGCTTCATCAGGATGGACCTCTTCTTGTCTTTGCACCGCTTGTTCTGAAACCAGACGCGGATCACCCTGGGGCTGAGGCCGGTCATCTCCACCAGCTGCTCCTTCATCAGAGCGTCCGGTCGCGGGTTGGCGTTGTAGCAGGTCCTCAGCGTGTGGAGCTGCTTCTCGTTTAGCACCGTCCGGACCCGGGTGGTCTTCTCCGTCTGCTTGTGGACGTTGTTCCGGTGATGAGGAGGATGCCGGACCGAAACCGTGTCTGAGGAGAAGGAACGATTAAATTAGAAAGTCAGATCAGTTATTCTAAATAAGCCTAATGGTTATACATCTGTAAGGCATTATGATAAACTTAAATTAAATAAAAGCAACAAATAGCCAGCACATTTTATGCAGTGTATACAAATACAATTAGGCATTAGAAATAGCAAATATTATCAGACTACTGTAATGTCACTGCACCCCAGTGCCAGAGATACATTGGCCACGGTATAAACCTGTACTACAGTATTATGTAAAATAAAGCCTAGTGATTTATTACAACACTCAATGTCATTGTTTGACTCGAAAATCAGGTAGGTAGGCCTTTGCCTATGCTGCAACTATATGCACACAAAATACAACTATTATTCAGTCGACTTTGTTCAAATTTAGCTTCAGATAAACAAAACAAAAAGCAGGCTTGTTAATGCAACATTTTTAATAATAATAATAATAATAATAATAATAATAATAATAATAATAGGCATATAACATGCACGATTTTAGGCCTATTCAGGTCATCTTCTAGTGTACTGTATTATAAGGTTAAGGTTTTAAGGCTTTATAATAAGCAGTTTGTAGCTTACCTGAGATGTGCAGCGGTCTGGTGTGAATGCTCCCCGGGCTGAGCGGGCTCCCTGCGGTGGCCCGCTCCACCAGC